AACTCATCGAGACGGCCCCAAATTTAAACGGCTTCCTACAGTCGTGATGTGGAGCTATGTACAATTCCACTGAGCCGCTGAACGAATAAAGCAATAAATATGGGAGCTAGTAGAGCAGGAAAAATAACACTACTCGAAAAAATGAAACACTTTTTTCCTTACGGAACCAAACAGATTTTTTTTACCCGGTACTCGAAGATTAAATAGGGTATATTGGATTTTGCGCACAATATTGGATGTACATATGGAACGTACAGAAGGAAACATTTCCGACCCCATAAAGTATATATAATTTTGATCAGCATCAATATCCGAGTCGATATAGCTAAGTCTGTCTGTCCGTCTAAACCACTAAGGTACAGATGTACTACTGAGAACCGGGTATAAAAATTGTGACGCGTAAGAAGCGTCTCACAGGTCCCTCCTCGTTTTTTATAGATTTGGGCATTAAAATGTTTTCACATAACTTAAGTATCTTACATCTGGTTTTAAAGAACTTTTCTATTCTGAAAAGCTTATTGATGCAAATGATGCAGCTTACCATCTGGGAAATATTAAGCTTTCAAATGCCAAAATTATGATTGCGATATTTTTTACAACATTTTGCCTCTAAAAACTCAGGACCAGTCGAAAAATATATACAGAGTACATTATTTTTTTAAAGTTGTTGCCCATTAAAATCTACGGAGGGAAACCGATCTGAAAATGGAATGAAATACCTTTTTGGAAGGTTTGCTGGCCCAAGCGCCAAGCCCAAGCGGAACAAAGCAAACGAGGACAACTACTATATTTTCGCACATGGTCATGTTTCTTAAAGCTCTTTACAACCATAACCATAAATTAACGTATGTGAAAGAGAACCGCTACCCCTAAAAATATCATAAAGAAATACCAGCTTTTAAAAACTTGTATAAAAATATTCTACCGTAGAAAAAAACAAAATATCTTCAGACATATCTCTCTTCTTTTCGTTCTTTGAGGACAAATCGTGTCTGGTAGTGTAATCAAACAAGATAAGGGAAATGTGCGTGCTAGCGTGTCGGAATTGCGTAAATCACTATCACTAAAGGAATAAATTGGAATTATTCAATCAAGGCAATTGCCTTCGAAAACAAGCATGTCCGTACGTAATTGACAGTCACAAAGAAGATTGAAGACAACGCTAACTTAATTTGAGACACCATCAAAAGCAAAACGTGTTTATAATCAGACTGTACCTTTGAGTATTCCCACTAACATTGTGCTGTCCTTGCGTGATAAGTAGGTGCAGTACGTAGGTAGTAAATTTGTCATTACATAAATCAAAAGATAACAGATAAATATCTCGCACTAACTGGGTTAGTATCGGGTATTAGTAGTTTCGCGGAACATGTAACTAAAATCACAACGTGTGTTCGTAACCCCTTTCTTATACCTCCAGTAAGTGAATTCGGGGAAGTTTTTAACGTATATATGAAAGTATCCCCCGACCCACACTTAACTCAAAGAGTTTCTATTAATACTTACTTATATTTTCATGATTCATATTTCCTTGCTTGTCGTTTAGTGTGAATAAATTAGTAGTGCTACCGGGGTCGCTGTGGCCATGCCATATATTCGAGAGAAATTGAGAGCTCGAAGTCAGCAAGCCGGTAGAAGTTTTAATAGTTTTCTCGAGTCTTGTATAACTATTTGGAGATGTAGGTGCTGAAATGCATGTCGAATATGTTGTACCTTCCTTATAAGTATTTGAGTTTCTAGCAGTCTGGAAATGTTCTTCAATATTTTTTTTTCGAGCTTTTTCCCACTCTACATTTTTTCTAGTCCGTTCATCCTCTGCCTTTTTCCATTCTATGTGGGCGTTTTGCAAGATTCTGAAACACTCGTTCCCACGAACATACTCCAACGCTATAAGAGGCCATGCTTCTAGTGTTTGAACAGCTTTGCTTAAGCCTTCATCCATTCCTGGAGGATTTATTTCACCCTTTGCCTTAATATTTCTTAAATTTTTATCGTAGTTAATTGATTTAAATCGACTTGCGTCTGCATCATTTACAGTTTTTTTTCTTGCCATCCTTAAGTACCGCTTGATTGTGTTGCTTACAGATTGTGAAATATCTTCGTTGTCAATAGAGCTTTTTCTCCGGTCTGTTAGCGTACCATGTTTCTCTAACAACTCGTCACCCAGGGCAGATGGATTAGAATTATCTTTGCACTGCTGCCAAGTCTTCTCAAATTCCTTAGCCATGCGTTTTAGTTCGCTAAGCTGTATAAAAGTAGTTTGTGTTCCGCATGTGTTGAAGCTCCTTTCAATCTCCTCATTTTTTGTTTTGCCCTTTTTGGTCCACAGATCAGTTGCTATCGGGGCGATGCGGGGTTCCAAACTATGTTTATCTGGGGCCACACCCAGATTTGTTCTGATATCGCAATTGTCGAAGCTTGTCGGTTTCTGGTGTATCCTATTATCCAACCTTTGGCAATCAACTATTTTTTTAACTCCACTGGAAAAGCATTTTTTATAGCTGTTTTGGTAGCTATTTAATTTCAATATACTTGAAAGTGAAGAGGCACGACCAATATTATGTTTTGATGGTTCTGTGGAATGTAACATTCGATGAAGTTGCTGTTTTTTTAGGGAGTTGTATATTTGCCTCAAAAGTACTTTATCTTCAAGAATATCTTGTCGTAAATTATCTACATGTAATTTTACTCCCACAATATGATCCAATAGGGGGGTTTCGGACAATAATTTTAAACGAGATAAGAGCTCTTTTTCAAGTGACTTTTCGCAATAATCGGTCTTTAATATATTATCATTTCTATTACCAATGGGCCGATGTGCACTTGGTGATGATGTCTGATCGGGTCTAACCGTTTTGGTTCCCAGTAAGGTTGTTGTTTTGTACGCATCGCGAATTTTCAGATACGACTGCAGTAGCTCAATAGTCTGATCGGCATTAATATGTTGGTCTGTTGTGTCCGCGCCACAGCGACTGCCACTTGTGTGCCGAGAAATTACTTTAAGTCGCCTCTTAGAATTGTGTATTGCTCCTGGATATGATGTCTTTCGTCGCCATAAAATAAAGCAGGGCTCAGAGGCGCAGGCTCGTTGAAATTGTGCCTCAATTAAGGAAATGTCCGATTCACTCTGCGCTCCTTCCGGAAGAAGCTTGCGTCCAGCTTCTGTCATATATCTCCATGTTTTTCGAGTTAATAGCCAGCGCTCTCGTTTTTTTTCTTTGTCTTTAGTGCTGCAACGACGTCTTCTAGATCCAGGGGAAGCTCTTCCCAAATTCTTACTGGCCATATTCGTTGGCCCGCAGTGTTCATCCGAAGGATTGCTTGCATTTAATATGGACAAGTCCTTTCCTGGTCTACTAAGCATGTCAATCGCATCATCCAAAGGGCCTGATCTCTTTTTGATCACCGCTACAGGGCGTCGCAGTGTCGACAGATGTTGTTCTGGTTTAATTTGTTCTTCCATATTAAAATTGTTTAGCGCCTTTGGACGTATTTGAGTATTTCCCCGCGTGTTCTCTCTATGGTGCTATCAGCTTCATCATCTTAATGTATGTAGCACGTCAAAAACCAATGTAATTGCTTTCGTTGAAAACCTTATGTATGGTGATACATACCGGGTCATCATACACATTCATCCTTATTAGAATTTATACATTATATATGAGCACTTTAACATACTGTATTTTCTGATATCGCAATACTCACAATCAGATTTAATCTGTTACAGAAGAGGTGGCGGATATCATAGGAGATCAGATCAACATATGTATAGATTTTGTTATAGAAAATAATTCTTATGTATGTATATTTAAACACTTTAATGATCCCGCTCAAGAGGTATGGGTACTCGTTTGAAAATGGGTGCATAAGGTTATTTATAAACTTTGATATTCATTCTGAAATATTTCATGGAATTATTAACACTCAACCTTTTACGTTATCGTAATTTATACATACATATGAATATTCCCATTTGTATGAACATAAAAACAATTATATGACTACATATCATATGTATTATGTTTTTATATTAATTCAAAATAATATGCATTTATTCAATGCATATTCAACGCAACATGCATATAATTCAATATAACAAAATTCACATTTCACATTTTATTTATTATTTCGCATTTGTTGATTTATTGGTTGATTACATATCACGGAATAGTATAAACTTTTCAATATCAGATCTGGTCTGCGCGAATAACGTTGAATGCCTGGGAGCCAGTAAAAAAGAAAGAATACAGTTTCAAACAAAAAAAAAAATAAATAAAAATCTAATTTTTCTTGAGAAACTTTTGTTGAATGTATTTATATACCCACTGTATACATTTAAAGTTCTCTGTCTTTCTAAAAAATACATATGTATGTACAATACGTATACGCATGGAAAACTTTTTATAAATATTTCTATACGAAACATGAATGTATGCATATGCGTATTTGCTTGTACGTTATCGTGTATACATGAATGTAGGGTATTGTATATTTATTAAATATGTTCGTATACATATGTATTATGTATTATACGTATGTATTTATGTATTATAGGAAATTTTCATACCTGTTGAGATGGGTGTGTGAGTGTCTGAGAGTATTTTCCTTATGTTCCAACTATTCATACAATGTTCTTAATATTTTTCATACTACATCGCTGTTGTCTAATGACTAAAAGCGTACTCTGTTCTGATGAATAATAAAACGTACGTATGAGCAGATCACTAGCGAAGAGAGATCGATCATTCATGTATGTAAGTACTCAACTAGCTACTTACTTAGTGGATGAGGAGGTTAATATTACTTCAAACCTACATACACTACCTTTAAATTTGTTCACACTGGTTTCAATGATAATTACAGACAGATTATAAAATACTATATATAGCCACAGTGGTTTCGCTTCGCTAAAACCAAGTCAAGCCCACTAATTTTGGTGAAAAGTATTAACAACCATTTTAATTGTCTTAATTGTGTACATATGCATGAATGCAATTATTTATTAATAATTTAATTACATATGACTATAGGAATTATTTTTATGCTGTATTTCTATATTGAATAATTTTATAAACACGTTCTTTTACAATCGTTCCATTGGAATTGGCTTGTAATCTAGAATAAAAAAAGGGGCTTATTAACGAAAAAGAATAACAATTAATACCCAATTTCAATAATTAAATGTGGGACTTTTGTTATTTGTCTTTTTAAAGAATGATAGCATCGAGGTACGACGAAGACACCTTTAAATCTTTCTTTACTATATTTATACAAGGTTCTCAAAGTGTAAAAAGGATATATAAGATTTGTGGTCGTAGTAATGTGCGTAACGCGTTACATACATTTACTTTCACTCAAAAATACAACATACCCTACTTACTCTTCGAGTACCGGGTATAAAAGTATATATTCGTGCGTGTGCATAAATATGTACACACTATTGTATGCACTTTAAGAGTAAGAAAATAGTTGACCCCTGCGCAAGCTAAAAATCACTACTTTCACCTGATCACAGATTAAAGAAAAACGAGAAGGGACGTGTACTTTTATACCCGGCACTCAGTACTACATCTGCACCTTAGCGGTGTTTTGTCAAATTTAACATTTTTTCTTCATCTGTCATCTACATCAACAACACTTCTCAGACCAACACGCTTCTTTAGCTAGTGATCTGATAGATATGGTCATTCCCTACGGAATGGCGTTTTTAGTTTTCTTTCCCAGAGACTATAAGACTGCTGTGATATCACACCATTCTGCAGGCAAAATTCGGAGGCTCTAGCTTTTATAGTCTCTGAGAACTAGCCAACAAACAAGACGAAGAGACGGACCGACAGACATGGCTACATCGACTCCGCTATTGACCCTGATCAAGAATATATGTATATACTTTATGGGGTCGAAAACGTTTCCTTCTGTGCGTTACATACATCAACTTTCGAGCTCAAACACAATATATATATATATATATATATATATAATACATACATATATATTTATACCCTATTTAAGTACTGGGTATAATAAAAGACATGAGATAATTTTAAATCAGATTTTAAATTCAGGATTTCTTAAAAAAATAAGAGCTACCTCTAAAAAAGCATTTAAAAACATATGTATAGTCAGGCCATTTCTCAGACCCATATCTTTCAGAAAATGTTGGTTTGGTTCCTTGAGGGAAAATCGTGTCGGGTCGTGTAGTCAAAGAAGGTATGCATGTTTAACGTTTATTATGGGAAGATTTCAAAGGAAGATTGTTTATTTACCTTAAAGTTACATCTTTAGAGTATGGATATTTGCTTAGTTAGTCATCTCTCCCTTCGGTACATATATTCTGCTAGAGTTAAAAAATGTAACAAAAACTTGATTGATATGATGTTTATCATGGCAGTGTGAGCATTCATCCCGATGGCCGAGCTTGTCTGCATTGCAGCCGGCTGTTCGCCTGTTCAAGTATTTATAATTAAATGTTAGTGGAAGCACGTTGATTAATATTAATAATAACCCTACCGGTCAATACATGAACTCTCACCGATGCTGGTATTGCACCGTTAGGAACGCAAGTATAGTTTCCGGAATCTCGTAATGATGCTCTTGTCAGCATTAATCGACTAGTAGTTCCAATATCAGTTTTTTCCGTTTCCAAGCTTATGCCACCTCGCAGCGAATCAAAATCGACGATTGAAGAACCATGATACCTTAAGGTGCAGGATGTTGAAGTTTAAAATAGCATACATTCCAAAAACCCTTACCATAAAACAGATAATGCATGCATATTTACTGAGCAGGCTAGGGCGATAGTGCTATCGCGTTTAACGTGAATTTCCGTTGATCCTAATATTTTTGCACGAGCCGCTTTTAGAGGAAATGTTTCAAAATAATTTGTCAGACTTCTATTTTTACGAGACCGCTGATCTCTTACCTTTTGAATCATAGTACCGCCTATCCGAATTGATATCTCTAGCTTCGCTTTCAGCTAAAAGAAAAGTGATCGCGGAAATCAGAAAGAGTTCTTAAATGGATTTGCTACAGAGCCTTATTTTTCTTATTCTTATTTTAGAGCCTAAGGACATTGCTCGATCCCAACAGCACCATTAAATCGAACTTAATTAAAATCATGTACCCGTTGAGGGAACGAACGGTGGCGGAACGTTCCTTACGAGGCCGTGATATAGAACCGCAAATCGATCTGATGTCGTTGAGAATTGGAAAGATATTAAATCTATCCTGGATCGTTACCCATTTCATTTAAAATAATAAAATTGCTTAATTATCTGATGGACTGACCCCTAAGAATATTAAAGGGCACACTCTGTAATTTATGGAAAACTTTACCTGCAATATCCAAAATGATTGCTAAGTTTATTTTTGGTTCAGTATTGACTTGACACTCGTAAATTCCGCTATCCCGTGCTTGGGCGTAGTCAATTTTTAAGTCCCAATCCTCACTGCTGGGAGGGTGTATTACGGAAAATCGTTGATCGCCAGTATATGTATAAATGTTAGTTGTTAAAATATGAAGGTCGCGCTTACGCATCCATGAAACCTGCAAGAAGTTTTCAATAATTTATTCAGTTATAATTTTGTCAGAATTATAATTTAGTTTTTCGGTATATACATACATATTTACTTATGTATTCTAATTAAACTAACTAATTAAACTCAAAGATTAAATGGTATTCGATTTGTGCTTCCATGTACATATCACACCCAAGGGATGACTATCCCACCCAATACTCGTTAACTATAATTATTAATATGATTTAAACGAATATTAAGAGAATTAAGAACGAATTAAGAGGATTGCGGATGAATAAAAACAAAACCATATTAAAAATAAGTAATTTGTGTTTGTGAGTAATTTCTTACAGTGCGATTGCCTTTGTTTTTGACACGACATCTCAAAATGGCGGTTTCATCAACGACAGCTGAAACATTTCGTGGGCTTATGTCATCGAAGAAGGGTCGATCCGAGCTTGCTAAGTCTGAAATAATATGTACAAGGTGACTTACTGGGAACTCTAAAGACGGCATAAAGCTTACCATTTATGTTTAAAAATGAAGTTGCACTTATACGCTGAAGACATATGTTAAAATTCAAAATCAAAAAAATCATGGGTTTGATTTTGTTGAAGGAAGAACCCAAACACGTTGATTTTACAAATGGTGCCGCCATATCGGTTAATTCAAGCGACTTAAAATGGCAGGCTGGATGGTGATGGTTGGCATGACTAGAAAATAGCCGCGATATTCACCTTAATTGTGAATATAATGATCAATCATTGCACGTCCTTTAATAACATTAACATATGCGCAAATGTATCCGTAAGGAACCTTAATATGTACATTCATATGTACATATGTATGTAGGTATCAAGCGGACACATGACATGGGATTAATACTGGGAAACCAGTGTATACATGTGTACATATGAATGTGAACACATTTATTTATGCACATATACATATGTATGTACGTATGTGTATGTAAGACTTATTTATCCTACAATATGCAGATGTTTATACATTTTTACACATATTGCATTGCTTAGCATATTTAATGCACTTTTTTTATTGGATTTCTTTTATTTAATTTTGACTTAAAAGGTATTGTGCTGAAAACTCGCTCTCACTTCATTTGTATCCAACAAGAATTGTTGGCTTTGAGTAGAGATTTTTCAACCCCAAAAGGTTTTTTATATAAACTACTTTTGAGCGAGCTTTTGACAGGGCTGGATGCTCAGCCGTCTGCATCCCATCGGATATTCGCGCAGGCGCACTACAGTGGTATACAGTATAACAGTATCACAATTAAATTGACAATTTGCTTTTATGTTCCTTTTTAACAGAATCAATTAGTTTAAAGATATATTTGGCATTACATTTTTGACTGCTTTAATTTAACTAATATTCATAAGTATGTACAAAATATATATGCAAAATAAAATTCAATCCTAACTTGCAAAATTATTTATGTAATAAGTTTTTTTTAAACTTAGATACTCCTGCTTGAAAAGTATTATTCAGTACATTTTAGCATATTTTGACGATTTCCCTAGTCATACAGCCTTTAAATACCTTTAAATAGCCTTTAAATGGCCAAATCATCTGTCCAAAAACCTATTATATATTCTTTGTAACTTACAGTTAACTTACATTATCAATTGCGGCCAATTTGAATATTTTACCTGCATTGAACAAATAATGAACCCGAAAGTTTGGGGAACATATTCGTACTCAATAATTCCTATGACACATGGTTAATTTATTTCCTTATTTCGAATAAGTCTTTGAATCTTTCTGTGCCTTCCGAACCTCTGCTCAATTTGTATTCATAGATATCTAATATCTTAGATGAACATAAAACGAAGTCATCTACAATCAACTTTGGAATGGCTGCAACGATTAGCATTTTTTTTCATTTTCTTTATTTGTCTCCGTTTCAAATAAAACAAAATACCTTTTTAGAAACTTGGAAAAGGCGACCGTACCTCGGAAATCGCTAATTAAATATTAAGACATTGGTCTTAGAAGTGTAAATCGGCCCTATAAATGTAAATATGATAATACGCATACAAACAATTTTCAAAACAACGAGCTAAGTTAATGAAACGGCTAAAATAGAAAGATCAACAACGAAATACTTAATTCAAGTGTAGATTTGAAACGAGAAGTGTTTTCGTCCTTTTCCTTGCATTGAACTTCGGGTAAAATCGACGTTTTGGCATTAATCCTAAAAATAAAGCTTTTACAAATTTGTACAAATGCTTATTAGACTTTTGTACCTCCCCCATACGGATTGAAAGCCATTTGCGTCGCATTTTTAATAAAACTGTCGTACACTGTCATCACCATAGTTTGAACACCTATAACTTGGCGTACGGTTAACGTAAACAGAAAAAGTTAATTTTGTATCAAAGATCAACATATCTACTATTTGTTTATGAACAAATTTTTTAATTTTTCCTTTTTTCGCACATAAATTAATCGTACAGGCTTCCGATTCCTTAAGAAAAATTCAAATTTTAAAGGTAACATGCCAAATGCAAATGTTTGTTTGCTACATTGCTTTATGATGACTAAAAGCCCTAAAAACAATCTTCCCCCCAAGGTATTGGTGTCCAATGAATTAATATTGAACCCCTCCACAAGCAGCACCGGTCCCACGATTAAATTTTGGGTTCCGTTTCCTTTTGTTAAAATGTTTTTACACAGGTTTCGTGCAACTCAAGTTAACTAACCATAGTGAAATTTTCAGCAAGTTGCTGTTTTAAATGAGCCAGATTTGATCCAAAAAAGATGCATTTTTGTGTAATATTTTTGGCTTGGTCAAGTTTGACTTCTAATTATGACCAATTGACCAAATCCACGTGTCATTGGATGCCAATTGTCACTCAAAATATAGTTTAATAAACTCTTTTTCATATTCACATTTAATAAGACCATTCGTACAACTCCAGTTAAAAAACAACACAGGTGAAATGTTAAATTAATTTTCCGGAAGATTTTTGGAGAAACCCATGGCCAGATTCATGTCTAAAAAATGAGATTTGTCCATCTAAGACAGATTTTAGATTGGTTGGCCTTGCGAAAATAAATTTAGCTCATGATGAGGAAATGGTGGTCCCTGCTCTATGGCATTTCGGAGGCTGGTTCAAACTAATGGCAATAACGAGGCTTGCCGCATGACCCCTTTCTTATTTTGTTAGTCGATAGAACTCGACCAAATCATTGATATCATTTTGAGGCGAATACGGAGATGCTCTTAATCGATAAGATTTGGATCAATCAATTTTATCGAATGTTAACTAATAACAAATTGATGTCTATATTATTATTCAATGCAAGTGATGATATAATTGGTGGCTTATTTTTCTGGATGCCCCTGGTGAGACATACCATTTCATTTAGTGGCAATTTACTTTCTGTCGATTTCCGACAAACACTGCCTGTCATTCCTAGATCGACTGACGACGATGGAATAAATGTTTGTCTGATGACATTAAATCTGTGGTATTATGTAAAGAACCATAAACAGTCAGCAAACATGAGAGTTTCGTTGTTTAACGAACTGAATTCTTATTCCTGTCGATCTGTTTCATTCTGTTTTTACTCTCCATTTGCATATGCCTCTTTTGTTTTTATACACGGTACTCGAAGAGTAAATAGGGTATATTGTATTTGTATACAAAGTATGTAACACACAGAAGGAAACGTTTCCGACCCCATAAAGTATATATATTCTTGGTCAGCATCAATAGCCGAGTCGATAGAGCCATGTCTGGCTGTCTGTCCGTCTGTCTTGTTGAGCGCCTGAATCACAGAGACCATAAAAGCTAGACCCACAAAATTTTGCATCCAGACTTCTGTATGCTCACACTGTTACAAGCGTACTTCAAAAATGAGCCACGCCCCCTTTCGCCCCGCAAAAGGGCGAAAACCTGCCAAATCTACAATTTTGAAGATACAAGAAAACTAACGAGAAGGGACGTGTAAGACGCTTCTTACGCGTCACAACTTTTATACCCGGCACTCAGTAGCGGTTATTTATCAAATTTTACATTTTTTCTTCATCTGTCATCTACATCAACAACATACATCTACATCTCACACCAACACGCTCCTTCAGCTCGCCGCCCTTCCCTAGGCCCAACTGCAGACTCGCGGCAGAGGCAGGGGGCGGGCAGAGGCAGGGGCCGAGTGAAGCAGAAGCAGATTGTGAATGAGAGAATGTAAAAAGAACAACAAAAGCTGCAGGACAGGGTGGGTTTAGCCACTGGAAATTAATTTCTGCAATATGGTGATCTGATAGATATGCCCATTCCCTACGGAATGGCGTTTTTAGTTTTCTTTTATCTTCAAAATTGTAGATTTGGGAGGTTTTCGCCCTTTTGCGGTGGCGGAAGGGGATAATTTTTGAAATACACTGGTTTCAGTGTGAGCATACAGCAGTCCGGAGCCAAAATTTGGTGGCTCTAGCTCTTATAGTCTCTGAGAAGCGTCTCACGCGTCCCTTCTCGTTGATAATCCTTTTCAGCATCTTTTACTCTGAGTGATGTACGAGTATGTATTTTTGAGCATAGATTTCAAGGTAAGTTGTCTCCAATAATTAATTATTAAACATTAAATAAAAACAAGTTTTAATAAACAATTTATTATTATTATTATTTTATAGACGCAAATAAACAAACGCAAATGATGTATTAAATAAAGCACATAAGTAAGTATCGATGTACATATCTATAAATATATGTACATTGGTCGTAAATCGTGGTGTTGGTATAAGCATTTCATCAGTCGCACAAAATCTAAAAATCCGAATATGGCATATTTCCTGGTACTGGTAAAACGTTTGGTCCTGGATAAATATATTGACTTTCTGGTTCCGTGCCCCAACCGCGGGCGCAATTGTTAAAGGTCTGAGCTTGGCTCGAAGAGGTTAGTCGCGGTACTGTATTTGTAGATGGTTGTCCATACCTCGTAGACATACAGGGTGATCGAAGGGGTTGCGGTGAAGTCGAGACAGTAGAACTAGGAGATCTTGAAGCATTTTCCACGGAAAATCGAGACTCACTGGATCCAAAAACAAACGGTGTGGGCGACACATTCTGTACTAGGGAATTTTGCCGAACATTTAAAAAATTTTGATTTTGATTCGGGTAACTCAAATTTGACTGCTCAAACTTGGACAATTTCTCAAATGATAACGGCGATGGGTTAAAGTTGACCTGCGACGATCCCTGGGCAGAGGTTTGAAGTATTTTCTGGTAGCCGGCAGGAGCAGAAAACTGTTGCTTTAGAGGTATTGTACTAAACCCACGTACCATGGGCTTAGAAACCGGAAAGCCCCAACAAGTTCCCATCGATTTTTCATTTGCATTAGAGGTTGCTGTGGGCAGATGCCGATGTGAATGTTCGTAGGTTGTGTTGATATTTGAAATGTTGTGACCCGAATATGCTGGCTGCTGATCTGTAAAATTCTTTGGTGGTGGTGCATAGCTGGCTAAGGAGATTTCCTTCGGAACGTATAAGCCTGTGGAAAAACGAATTTAAAATTAAAAGGACACGAAGTAAACAAGCTTTTAATTGTAACTACGTTAGAATTCAATGTGAATATTCAGGGACAAAGAAGAATTTAAGACGCTTTAGACAGACTATGCCATACACATGATAACATAGTAACACTTATCTGTTAAATACGGGAATAAAGAAAATATTTCTGTTCTATGGACTGTGGACCGGAGTAAACAAACAACAATTTAATATATAAAACAATTTAAACACGAAATCCGGATTTTCCGGGATCTAGGAATCTTGCCTCCATATTCATTGTCAGCTTCGGGTATTTCATTTGGTAGATATGCAGAACCGTTTTTTTTTCTGCATCTTACAGATTCTTTGTACTCCCCTAATGACTGCTGTTCGAACGAGTATATAAGATCTCGCACATTTACGTTCTCGCTTATTTCGTCATCGGTAATGGGACCGGTTTGTGTTATATCTTCATTATTCAGACTTACGTCATTAGGACGCCCAAGCTTGAGCTGCTTGTTTTGTAATTTGTTAAAACTTAATAAACGAGAGTCGTCTCTTCGCTTCAATATTTCGATTTCAAGTCGTTGCTGTTCCAAAAAATATTTTTGAAATTGTTCGAGTTGATGCAATCGGGTTTGCACATCCGCTGCGAAATCAAGGGGCTGATTTTTCAAATCGTCCTTTTGAACCTTTTCCCTAAATATGTCATGCTCTTCACTGATGTATTGGTTTATGTATTTCTTGTTGTAAGTGGCCTCCCAAGATGACAACGGTTCATTGAATTCAAAATACTCTGGAACAGTTTATTCATAGCAGAAAAATAATCATCTTATCTCACCAAAGTAAGCTCTTGAAATATCAGTAATGTATTTATTCATAAGGATTTTCTTACCTCTTGGTAATTCCACGTTACGACCTCCCCAGCCCTGGGCAACACTTGGTTTGTAAGCCAATTCTCTTTGTGGATTCGAGGGCAAAATGGATGATTGTTGTTTAACATGTTGGTTAAGAGACTGTTTAGCGGAAAAACTAATTAGGTGCAATGTCATTAAAATAAGTAATCCTTATTACCTCTTTGTATGACTCCTGCTGATTACTCAATGGTATGTCATAGGATACTGGATCCACTGCATCTGTCAAGTCGTTTCCACCACTATGAAAATATGTTTTTGGTACGGTCGAAGAGACCGTTTGCATTGGAGGTTTGGATTCCTCCAAAAAAGCAGAGCTTGCTGAACCTGTCTGTAACGCGGCCTCCCAAGGCGATTTAACAACCTGAAGTCCAGGTTTAGAATACTTTTCTATCAATTGATCTTGATGAATATTTAATTGAACGCGATGTTTTCCAGCATCAGAATACGCCGGCAAAATGTTTGGCGAGGTTGCCGGCTTTGGCTGATACTGCTGATAATCTGGAAGACCAGATGGATGACTTTGAGCCCCTGCATTTATTTCATCGACTACCCAGTTATCAGCCTTTCTGCGACGTTTTGCAAACAATTCGGCACCTACATATGCGAATATGGTTGTGCAGGTTGTAGAGCAGGCGGCGGTGGCGGAGACGACGTAACGTTGGCAGAAGCAAAGCATGTAAAGCAATTGTAATTATTAAGTTCATGGCAGAAAAAAATGTTGCAGCTATTAATTTGATTTAAATTTGATTAAATGTGTATTGATACGCTATTTTGTTTGTTTGTTCTTATAACACTACTCGACAAAATCTAACTTTTGTTTCCGTCCTGCAGCTTTTATTTGTTTTTTGCACATTCTCTCATCCACACTCTGCTTCTGCAATGCCTCTGCAGTGTGCGGCTCTAGGGGAGGGCGAGCTAAAAGAGCGTGTTGGCGTGTGAAGTTATGTATGTAGATGTAGATGACACTCGTAGGAAAAATGTAAAATTAAAAAAAACCCACTAAGGTACAGATGTCCTACTGACTACCGGGTATAAAAGTTGTGGCGCGTAAGAAGCGCCTCACACGTCCCTTCTCGTAATATGTACATATGTTACCTTAGCGTGATATATATGAACAGTTTATATACAGTTGTGTTCAATGAAATAGTAGTGCCGAACCCCCACCACTTTCACAACTATTTTTGAGACCCTTCCAGTCTTTCGAATTAATCAATTGATACCTTTTTGAATAGATCTTCTGGTTTTTGTATGATTTTAGTCTAGTACCCACGAAATCTGCTGTTCAATGAAATAGTAGTGCTGGGTGCAAGTATTTAAAAAAAATTAAAAAACAAATCAAATAAATTAAAAAAGCACACCATCGGTAAGCTTTATTTATGTATTGAATATATTGATGAAATAAATGTTTGAATATAGCGGTACTTTTGTTTTTGGAGCGTAGAAGAAATCATTTCTCGGCCCAGTACAGCAAACCTAAGATTTTGATTAAAGACTGAAGTCAGGAGGTATAATGGAATTGAAAACTAAGTTGAATGTGCTCTTACAATTGTAATTTAAACTATTTTAACTAGCAGAAGAATTGACCTTTTATGCGAAAAACGTATCTTTTAGAGGTTGGTTGAAAATGGTCGAAAGAAAGGTCAAGGTCTTCAATATCCTCACAAGTTATGAAAACAATTTAATATCGATCTGTAAGTGTTACGACAGTTCGTAGACGACTTAGTACACATTATTTAATTGCAAGCTGTCCCAGAAAGCTATGCGTTTGCAGGAAATATAGATGTTAGGCTAATATTCGAGAAAAATTAGAGCTTAACACAACTAGACTAGAGCTACTATAGCTAAGCAGGCAAAAATTACCAAAATCAGAAACAAGACAAATCTAAAATGAAACTAACTACGGGAGAGGTAGGCTAGTATAAGAGATTTAAGAAGAGGAAGGGAGTTAGTCGAGGATATAATGTGGTAGAGGGAATTATAATCCGAGCATAAAACCCTAAAGGGTTCGTGTGAGGCATAATTCGATCTACATAGTGGAAGGAACAAAGGAATAAAGTTTCTAGTGGGTCTAATGGGAATCGTAAAGTTTATGCGGCTCAGCAAGTCAGGGCTGTCTACATCCCCCTTGATCAAGTTGTGCATAAAAATTACACCAAGCATTTTTCTACGACTAACTAAGGATGGAAGATTTATTAAAAGAAGTCTACTAAGCGATGGCGGTCTCACAGTTGCATCCCAGTTGAGGCCCCGTAGGGCAAATAATAAACAATTTGTCTGTACTGATTCAATACGGTCCTAATGTATGTTGTACTGAGGGCACCATACACATGAGCCGTATTCTAAAATCGGACGAACAAGCGAGATATAGAGTCTTGCAATATATCCCCAGTAGTTTAAGGAAACTGGTGGAGAAATATTTGGGTTCGTGTGGGTACCGAAATAAATGGTACCATCTTTACACAAGTCTTTTGAAATTGAACCCCAGATCAAATTGTGGATCTAGTAGTTGGTTACATTAAGAGAGTTCTCTTGATGGCGTCTCCCACATTCCTCGGTCCTTCCCCGTGGAGCGATAAAAAGGCATTACATTGCACTTCGAGGCATTAAGTTGTAACATATTTTCACAGCACCATGACTGAAAGCTATTGAGATCAGATTGCAAGCGAGAGTGAAATGAAATGTCCTTATACTGGACACAGAGCTTAACATCATCCGCATACATAAGTACTCGAGAATTTGTGAATACAGAAGGCAGGTCATTAATAAAGAGTGTGAAAAGTAAGGGGCCAAAATGGCTACCCTGTGGTACTCCAGAAGTAACCATAACAGGTAAAGATAAGGAGTTTTTGAAAAGGACCCTTTGAGACCTAGAACACAGGTAGCTAGAAATCCATCTCAACCGATTGGGCCTGGGAAACCCTAGAAGGTCGAGCTTTTGTGCAAGAAGAGAATGGTTTACAGAATCGAATGCCTTACTGAAGTCAGTGTAAAAAACATCCGTCTGCAAGTTACCTTGGAATCCTTTAATGACAAAGGAGGTGAACTCTAAAATACGTCGCCGTATAAATCCGTGCTGAGCTGGAGATATAAGTGATTTGCAGAGATGCTGCAAGTGCGTAGTTAAAAGTTTATCGAGCATTTTAGGAATAGCGGATAACTTAGATATACCTCCATAGTTTTTAGCGTCAGACTTGCTACCTTTCTTATGGAGAGGAATTATAAAGGATTCCTTCCAGATGGGGGGAAAGCTAGAAGAATGGATGGATAGAGTGAATAGTTTAAGCAAAGGTCCCCACAGAGACTCGGCACAGTACCTGAGTACACAGCCGGGAACTCCGTCAGGGCCCGGTGAAAATACCGGCTTAACTAATTGAAGTTCTTTAAAAAGGATCTATCAACGAGATAATGATCCGAAATACTCAAGAAACTAGCCAGAAATTGGGTTTCACCTGAAAAGATCGGCGTTTTTCCTTGTTAAAATCAGTCCCTGGATCTGAATGTCATCAAAATCTGCAAAATTTCTGCAACCAGAGCAAAGTGAGTGTTTGTGAACCAGTGTTTAAAGATAATTGGCTAAAGTCCTACTGAAGCTTGGGCAAGACCTTATTGATTTATTCCAGGCGGGAGCAAGGAAGTAATTAAATCAAAATTGATAAAAAACGAAATATTAAACCTCAAGAAGCATGTAGAGCAGAAATGATGGTTATTAACTTGAGTTTTGGTTTTTTTTTGCGATTTTCAAATGATTCACTACTATTTCATTGAACAGCACTTTTCATGGGTATTTTTGCAAAGTCATGTAAAACAAGAAGACGGAATGCAAATGTTCCAGGATTTCTTCTGGTTTGTAATTTGTACATTTCAGACTTTCTAAAATGGTATCACTTGTTTTATTTGTATGATTGGAAATTACTTAAAAATAGTTTTGAAAGTGGTGAGCTGCAGCACAACTATTTCATTGAACACAGCTGTACATACATTTGTACATATGTGACCTTATATTTTTTTCGAATTTTACACTTTACATCCTGTCGTCTACATCTATATCACTTCTGCCGCCCAACACGCTCTTTTAGCCCACTCCTCTTCCCAAGGTCTGCACACTACAGAGTTGCGAGCTAGATAGCATTAACACAAAAAATAAACTAGGCTGCTGGATGGGGTGGGGGACCGCCACTGGACATGAATTTCGTAATTTTGGCTTTAATAAAGATCCAATCTGATCCCTTTTTGGAGATTTTCTACGGAACCGCTTTTTTTTTCTCTTATCTTCAAAGTTGTGGATAGGAGAGATGATCGACCTAAGTCGTGGCGGAAGGGGGCGGGACGAAATTTGGAATTACACTTGTAACAGTGTGATATCACAGCAGTCTGGATGGAAAATTTGGTTGGTTTTTTTGTATTTTTTGTATTGCCGCTGATATCCAGGAGCACATCAAGACGGACGGACAGATAGACATACATATGTATATTGACTATATAGACTACTTAGCCTATTGATGACGATGATCTTATTGATGATATATACTGTATATGGCACAAGCCATGGTGCTGAGCGTTAAATTCTCATCTGGCTGCCACAACCGAAACGAACAAACGTCCATTGGTTCAAATGCTAGTAATGATAATTACATAACAGCATGTCCAGCAGCCAGATTAGGATTTTCTGACTCAACCGGTAAGACAACTGAAATAAGATTGCCAAGCACCAAAAAAGAGGAAATTTAAGAATTTTCTGCAAAAGACAGATCTTAAATAAAGTTGAAACAGCTAAAAAAACAATTTTGTGTGTAATTGAAATATACACTTTGTATAATGAGGACATTCAGGAAAATTGAACAGCAAACATTTTGAACTAAACTGAAATGTTACTTCATAAATAATGATTCCAAATAATGGTTCCAATAAAACTAAATGATACTAAGGAATTGTCATTTTACCTCGTCCCTGATGAAGTTTTAGTGCGGTTATTAGTTCAGCGCAATTGTCTGGCGATAACAGTCCAGTTTCAACATTAATCGAATCTTTGAGTGAGTTATAGTCGCGGACCTGTCCTCTTGGATTCATTATGAGCTTTAGCGGAATTTTCTCCAGCTTAGTTAGTTCCAGCATGGAATTTGCATCTGCATTTTCTTTATATAACGTATTAGCTTCACTTGTGCATTCTTCCTCTGTATGTGCAAATTATTAAACATTAACATATTTTCAAAGACATACATTTTTACAGTAATACCAACAGTGATAATTATACTTTCAACACCAATGTATGTATGTATGTATAACTAGGAGACGGTATGAGCTAAGTTTAGGAAGACAAGAAATTTGGAGAGTAGGATAAGGAGCTGAAATGATGGTCATTTCATCAAAAGAATCCTGGGAAACGGCACTGGTTGTTTAAAAGTGCGACCAAAAATTGTTTTCTCTTTTGTTTTACTTAATTATTATTAGTATACCAAAGTGATAAATTAAATGTCCTTTAATGAACAGATAGTCGAAATAGTAGAAGTTTTTAACTGCCTTAAATCGTACGTTATAGCTGTTCAAACTAGATTGATACAAACTGGGGTGCAGGAATAATTGTTAGGCTTACTGCATGTACGAAACAAATCTATCAGTATATACTTGTGCAGTTTAATATGTAAAATCTACAATGTGCACATGTTTGTTCTTAAACTAAAGTGCATGATCGCTGTTTTATCGATAGTTAGTCTAAAGATTCCTGAATGGATGAATTCGGCCTGTTTTATGTAAAAAGAGTGGGATACTTTTTGACTATTTTTTGACTGGTGCTGTAAACTCTTTACTATAATCTTTTCACAGGGTAGTAAAACAGGCATATCGGCTAAGTGTAATCACTCTTTGCATGCATCAAAGTGTCTATTACCTTTATCACTACCTTCATGAACCCATTTTACTGAGCGTTTCTTGCGATTGACATACATTGTTTGACCCTTAGACGTTTGGTTACTGATATCACTCAATGAATGGGATATTCTTCGGGCTAGCTCAACCTGGTCTTCCACAGTTGGATGTAGGTTTGGAGAATAAAATGCGGATGATGCATATAGCTTTCCTATTTTAAACAAATTAAAAATCAGTTTAAGTAGCACACAGTTTATTAATTAACGGTCCACTTATGGTAAAGTAACATTTAAAAGGCGATACGTAATTAGTTTTATGTTTTTAGATTAGAAACTGCTCAAGCGATCAATATAAAACGTCTGTGCAAGCTGGATATTTTCATTCACATTAGTCCAATGGCAACCGACCATAGCGAAAACATTTCAAGCACTGATAACTGGTAGCCCTAAGTACATATTGCTTGTAAGTTGTACGAGACTTACGTATCACCTTTTCAGTTTTCTGTTTTATTGTGTGGTTACTTACGATTTTTCGGCAATATTTCAACAGCATCGGTCGCAGGTGTAAATATTTTTCGCAAATCAACTGACTTCGATAAATTGGTTGTTTCCTATTTTAATTACAATATATTGGAAAATTGTTCTAACAAAGTTTATATGATTGTTGATTGCATATATTTATGGATGTTTCTGTGTAGTGAACAATTCCTGAGGGGCGGTGGTGAGCAACGGAAAATATTTTTTTTAAAGCAAATCATTTTTTCCTGTTCTTTAGCTATTAGACCCGGTTGATAAGTACGTACACTTTTTCTTTGCCACAGCTTTTCGCCTAGCTCTAATAAAACTTTTCCTTTATTTTGATCGTATAGATCACTAGGCCGAAACCCGCGTTTTCTCTCTATGCAATTCATTTGGAACACATTAGGTGGTGGCTTTTGCGCATTAAGAAATATTTCGAACGTTAACCTATTGCATTAAGACAATTTTTTTTCGATACTAGCGAGCGGCACAAATAAAATTCTAAAAGATACACTTGTCGTTAAAGAAAGAGTCATACATATGTAAATACATACATACATACATACACACACACAACATATGCACATATATGTAAAACTGTGAGTGTACACACACATGACACGTATGTAAATATGGGCACATACGGTTTTCTCTTAAAGGCTAATTATAGATTCCTTTTCAACTGTTGGAACGTACGCACATTAATTTAAGTTCTATATGATTTTCGGTAAACACATGCATAGAGGTACATACATTGACATACACACATACATATGTACATACGTACATTAGAAAAATGCTCTCGTTTTGAGTGTGCGGCAGGTCCTATACATATGTGTGCATATGTAAATCTACTTATGTATATATGTTTGCACATGTACATATACATATGTCCATATGTGTGCATATGTACATCAACATATGTATGTATACATATTCATTCATATACAGTGAAAATTATTCATGTTTGCCATTCACGTGTTCAACTGCAATTTATTATTTTTAAAGAACATCACCAGTTACAGTAAACAAAGTAAAGTTGTTTTGTACAATTTCCATGAATCTATAAATATGTATGTACAGTTATAAAAACATAATTATGTACATACATACAAATATAATAGACAAGTCCATATCCCTAATAGTAAACGAATTGTAAATCATTGCATGGAATATTATTTGTTTGCAACAGATAGCTGTTACACGAAAATGAAAAACCCTACCAAATCGTAAAATAGGTTTTTCATGATTTTTGATCAAGAAATTCATCTTTTTTTCTAAATTTCCTCCAACAACAGAAGTATCTGGTCATTGCGGACTCATCCATGGAAACGAAATTTCTTTTGAGTTTATTGAAAAAGCCATTACCCCATTCTCATATGACAGACATTGAGGATACATTTTGTGAATTTTAAAATAAATATTTCAATCAGTCTCCACAGTAAAGTTTCATGTTGTGTTTCAAGGCTAAGTAAAATTGCATTCAACGTGTATTGCTTTAATCATAAATCAAGAGGGTATCAGAAGCGTCAGTACTTAAAGCAAGCCACCCTTTCTAATACTAATCCCATACTATGTAACATGTAAATGTAGATATATTTATTTACTTATGTATATTTTCATGTAAATATGTTTGTAATACATATGTCACGTAAATATGTAAAATAAGCAGTTCGCATTTTTTGTACGTACTTTTTTATTATGTCCATCATCACTTTGATTGTAGGCGGTGTGCAAATGGGATTGCGCAGAGGATAGTCCATCCCGCTGGTAAGTTTGTTGCTCAATTTGCTGTTGCTCCCACTGTTTTTGTTTGAATTGATTTTGGGCAGTCAGTTGTTGAGCCAGAATCTGCTGCTGCTGAATTTGGTTTGTCAGTTCGTTCTGTTTCTGAATAAGCTTCAGCTCTTGCTCCTTAAGCTGGGTAATTTTTTCTTGGGTTTTTATATTTATATCTATATCAGATATAATGTCCTGAATTTGGTTGTTAAAGGTTTTCTGCATACAATAAAAATAGCTAGTTAGCCTACAAACGGAGAAATGGTTTAAACGTCGCACCCTTTTGGTCCCAACACTCTAAACTTTAGAGTCTATTTCAGAGATTGTCCTGATGTATACTCAGCCATTTTTTTAAAAAGCTATTACATCTTAAACTGATTTTTATGTTTAAATCATTTGCGAAGCAGCCTTGAAACTACTTATACCCACAATCTGCTTGCAACATTAACTATTCTCATATTTAATTATATTTATATTGTAAAAACAACTTGTATTATTATACAAAAACGCTTTTTATTATTGGAAATAACCACGAACTAATATCACCCAATCGCTTACCTGATCATTTGATATTCTCTCATCAGAAAATTCGTTAGGTTTTTGAGCCGTTATATCAGATGAACCATTCGATTTTTCCTTCAAATCTGTACCCTAGCGTTCAAATTAAAGAGTAAATAAATATATGTTATAAGTATGTAGCAATTATACCTATCAGTTAAGAAAGTCATTTTTAGAAACCTAAGTTATACTAGTGCATTACCTTTTTATTTGTAGACTCTTTAACCAAAGCAGTTTGACTTTCGATTGCTTCAGACGGTGCTTCAGATTTCACTGCCAAGTCGATAGTATTTAGGACGATATCCTGTTAAAAACGGGTTTGAAAAGATTAAGCACAATAATCGAACAGATAGTTGGTCATTGGCAATTACTATTATCAAAGTTGTTTTTAATATTGTGTTTTATTACTTTCCACGGAAACTTGATGTTAAATCTTATCTACATTATTTTTAGCAGTCTACTTCAAATGGTTTAGTTTTTATAACAAATAATTTGTTTTGTTAATGAAATCTTATGCAAAAATCTTATGAAAAAATCGAAGTCTGTTCCTCTCTGCTCCTCTCAGCGTTAAAAAGCTCTAGATAAGGAAATATCAATCCACTCATGGTATGCATTTTTATTTTATGGATATATCTGATAACTTTGCTGCAAACGAAAAGCTAGGAAGCGCTTAATCAGGTAGTTTGAATGTAAGTCGTAATAAAATACTTCTTCTGTCACAGATTCTGTTCGATCTTCTGACTCCGTTTCATCCTCAAATTTAGTTTCTTCCTCTTGCTCTACTTGTAATTTGGCATTTATTTGATGTTCTGTTTCCATTTCCGATTCGCTGGCATTATTGGATGTTTTGTCTATAGGAACATCTTGATAATTTGCTCCGCTGATAGAATCAATTTCAGTGGTAGTTAAATTTTCAAACTCTGTTTCCACCACTGCAATAGCCGGGTTTTCCGTGGCCGCTGTTTCCAGACTCGGAGTTTCCGTATCCGCTACCACAATCGAATCTATTTTAGCAATATTAGTGGTGGGTATTTCATCCGATTCCTTAGTGTCTTCATCAGATTCTTTCTCCACAACGACCAAACTTGAATCGACATTGCTTTCACCAATTGAATGATTAACATTTTGTCCGGGTTCTACAGACGCTTCGAGTTGTTCGGCGTTTTCTTCGGGAGCCATATCCGTCACTACAACTTCCGTCTGCGGCTGTTGTCGTAAAAAAATGAAAAAATACTGCAAATTTCTAGAAATGTCAAAAGATCTGAAGGCTCTGCAGATCCAAGTACTGGTAGCAGTTCTTAAAATGTTTATGAATGCATGGGCATGTAACAAATATGTTTATGCTATGCATTATAGATACAAACGATCCAAAGTGTTTGAAACTCCATTCTATGTACAGAAATAAAAAAGCTAAACAAATATTACGTACCACATCTTCAGAATTTGCATCCATTTCTTGTTTTTAATTCGGTACTTAAGGTATCTAAAAGTAATAGAAACTATAATTAGAAAAAACGGGAGTCGCAAACCACCTTTTGCTGACTGAGGATTGTCATAATAAACGAGAAGGGACGTTTGAGACGCTTCTTACGCGTCACAACCTTTATAACCGGCACTCAGTACTCTCCTTAGTGGTGTTTTGTCAAATTTAAAAGTTTTTCTTTATCTGACATCTACATCGACAACACTTCCCACACCAACGCGCTCCTTTAGCTCGCCCCCTTCCCTAGACCCACACACTGCAGACTGACCACTGACTACACGAAGCAGAGTGTGAATGAGAGAATGTGAAAAAACAACAACAAAAGCGGCTGGACAGGGTGGGTTTGGCCACAGAAAATTAATTTCTTCATTGTGGCCATAATAATTATCCAATCGGATCACAATTTGGTGATCTGATAGATATGGTCATTCCCTACAGAATGTTTTTTAGTTTTCTTTTATCTTCAAAAGGGTAGGTTAGGAGGTTTTCGCCATTTGCGGGGGAGGGGCTCATTTTTGAAATACACTTGTAACAGTGTGAGCATACAGAAGTCTGGATGCAAAATTTGGTGGCTCTAGCTTTTATGGTCTCTAAGATCCAGGCGCTCAGCAAGACGGATGGACAGACGTACAGACGGACTGACAGACAGACACGCCTCAATCGACTCGGCTATTGATGCTGATCAAAAATATATATACTTTATGGGGTCGGAAAAGTTTCCTTCTGTGTGTTACATACATTCACTTTGTGCACAAATAAAATATACCCTATTTACTCTTCGAGTACCGGGTATAAAAACGCCGATCCACATGCAACAGGTGCTAAAATGTATTTATACTTTTATCTCGAGCTCATAATATGAATAAACGCATTAACATATGTATATGCGAGTATCTGAATACCACGTGAGCTCTTCCGATCAGAGTAAAACAAAACTAATTTGATGTTCACTTGTTAACTTGTACGTTACACAATTGAAAATTATTCACATCGTATTATCATACACACATTTATGTATGTAAATACATACATATGTACTAATGCATGTACATTTATTAATACAAATGTATATACACATAATTCCATTTAAAATTGATAAATTTAAGTGTTCCAAAATTTTTTAATATTTAATTGTATTTATATTAAATACCAGATGTTACTGAGGAGCAATTAATTTTATGTTTGTACAAGGCAGTACAATCTCACTATTATAAGATGATAATAAAATAAATGCCGTCCTGACTAAAATAGTGACCTCGAATGAGCGAGAGTATACATACGCTGTTCGATTTCAAGAATATGAGTGCACATCAAAGATAGCTTCCACACTGTCCACATTTTGTCTATTTGATATATATTCACGTTCTCACGAAGAACTTTTCACAAAATTTAAATTTAAAACTCACCGATACATACATAACAATACATACATTCCCATAGTTCAACTAGAGAATTTCTTGCGGCAAAGTGAGCAGTCTGTGCACAGTGGGGCTGATATATAAAAAAAACTTTGCAATTTACTCGTACTAGACCATAAACGATATCGAAACAAACAAGTCGAATGCGTCTAAAAATTGTTCAATGCGCTGACGCTAGCTAAAGTTGTTTACTTTACCGTTTTAATAGATACATAATATAATTACAAATTTTTGTGTATTTTCATTTATTTAATTGTGCTAAATAGAGTTTACGTTCTAAATACTTTTCCAAGGGTACCCAGAGGTCGGCTGTTTTAAATACTACCGTCGCTTTTTATGGGACTTATTTATTTTTCGACGTTTTAAAATCATTTCATATAATGCATCCAAGCCTTCTTGGAGGCCTTCGCCAGTTATAGCACACGTCGGTTGTATATACCAGCCTTTCATGTGTGAAGCATTTTGTTTTGTTTCGTGCTGCATTTTCATATCTTTTTCCGCCGAATTCGTGTGAGAAGGCATATATGAAAATGAGGACATCGTGCCACTACTCATTGACGAATTGCTTTCGCAAGTTTGTTCAAGAATAGGCGTTTTTGGAGAGTAAAGCTGGCTTGGTAGATGCGTATCTACTGCTTTCTCTGCGTTTCTTTGGTTTGAAGAGCTATAACCAATTAAGTTACTCGTTGAAGAAGAGCTTGCCCTTATCGTTGGCATGTTCGGCACTGGATTGTGAAGCTCGTTGAGTCCTAGAAGCTTTTCCAGTTCTTTTGCGCAGCATGCGTTTGGAAGATCTTGTTTATTTGCTAGAATCAGTACAGGAACACCCTGTTTAACATAAAAAGAAAATATCACAATTTAATAGCAATGGTATGAAAAATAACGAATTAATAAATTAATTTTTAAAATAAGTTGAACAAGCCTTGCTTTGACTAAGGAAACCTTGACCTTCGTTGTTTTATTAAATCTTATTGTCTACACAATAAATAATCGAAACATTTACCTGATTATCTGGACATTTTGCTGTACGCATTAATTCCATTTTTGCCTCTTCCATGCGTTCTGTGTCGACGGAATCAATAACAAACAAAATACCATCTGTGCATCTGAAAACAATCGAAATCGAAATAAAACCGCCTTTAATTTATACATACATATGTACGTATTAACCACTTAATCATACCGTGTGTAGCTTCTCCACAACGGCCTCAGCTTTTCTTGTCCTCCAACATCCCAAACTAGAAAGTGAATTCCCTTTGCTCTGCCAATCGTACCTTGTACCTAAAGATTTGAAAAGGGATTTAGTTAAAAGACTGGCTCTATTTTTATAAATCATTAATAACCTTTTCACAATTAAATCCTATAGTGGGCACTGTATTTAAGTACTGATCAAATTTAAGTCTGTATAGTGCTGTTGTTTTTCCAGCAGAGTCTAAGCCTAACATGACAACATGCAACGTTCCCTGAAATGTAAATAATCTTGCCGTTTTAAATAATTACAGTAATAAGTAGTTACAGAAAAACTACCTGGGACGGCAATGCATCTAACAAGCTTCCATTCTTTACCAATGGCTTAACCATTGTAGCGCCCATCTTATAAACACATACTTTTCTTTACATTACTTTTGGCTAATTTTTTTTTATTTCAGTTCGATAACTTAAGGCGATAAATGTTTTCTATTGATTTATTAAACGTTACAGGTACTTCTTCAACTGCTTTTGGTTCTTTATACCTTCCTACATTCATCGCCAATGGAATATAGCCACCAAACATACAGTATAATAACACAGTATAATAAAAATATTAAATATGTTTTATTGTATGTATAAAATTACTATATTACGAAAATCTTTTAATGGACATATTCGTCCCGAAGCTAGAACCGATCAAAATTGTTTATAATCATCGGTTATTTTGTGTATGAAGCAGTGGTCGGCACGCACACGCCGTTTTTGCGATTGTGCGTGAAGGCGCAAATATAAAAAGTGTACGTGTCTGCAGCGCAGAGGCACTGCCGTTTAATACGCACAGTAGATAGGCCGTGCCGAGCCCTGGTAAAAAATCTTTAATTTTGTTTAATACAATGGCTTTATGGCATATTTCAGTTCTTTTCGTCAATCTTAAAAAATGTTACTTATGCACTTTAAGCTAATTTTAAAGGCATTTTTATAATTAACTATTTCACATGCAAAAAATATGTTATATACCAGAGCTATCTTTTCAAGAAAAGAGATCGTAAAAAGCATCAAGTGATGACTCATTCTACCCGGTACTCGAAGAGTAAATAGGGTATATTTTATTTTTGCACAAAGTGAATGTATGTAACACACAGAAGGAAACACAATAGCCGAGTCGATTGAGGCGTGTCTGTCTGTCCGTTAGTCTGTACGTCTTTCCATCCGTCTTGCTGAGCGCCTGGATCTCAGAGACCATAAAAGCTAGAGCCACCAAATTTTGCATCCAGACTTCTGTATGCTCACAAGTGAATTTCAACGAGAAGGGACGTGTGAGACGCTTTTTACGCGTCAGAAGTTTTATACCCGGCACTCAGTACTACATCTGCACCTTAGCGGTGTTTTGTCAAATTTAAAAGTTTTTCTTCATCTGTCATCTACATCTACAACACTTCTCACACAAACACGCTCCTTTAGCTCGACGCCCTTCCCTAGACCCACACACTGCAGACTCGCGGCAGAGGCAGAGGCAGCGCCCGCACAAAAAAAAACAAGTATAAGCTGCGGGACGGGGTGGGTTAAATCAGCAGAAGCAGAGTGTGAATGAGAGAATGTAAAAAGAACAACAAAAGCTGCGGGACAGGGTGGGTTTAGCCACTGGAAAATAATTTCTCCATTGTGGCTATAATAATGATCCAATCGGATTCCAATATGGTGATCTGATAGATATGCCCATTCCCTACGGAATGGCGTTTTTAGTTTTCTTTTATCTTCAAAACTGTAGGTTTGGGAGGTTTTCGCCTTTTTGCGGTGGCGGAAGGGGCTAATTTTTTAAATACACTTGTTTCAGTGTGAGCATACAGCAGTCCAGAGCCAAAATTTGGTGGCTCTAGCTCTTATAGTCTCTGAGAACTAGCCGACAAACAAGACGGACAGACAGACATGGCTCTATCGACTCGTCTATGATGCTGGTCAAGAATATATATACTTTATGGGGCCGGAAACGTTACCTTCTGTGCGTTACATACAACCGTTATTCCGGTATAAAAATGAGCCAAGCCCCCTTCCGCCCCCGCAAAAGGGCGAAAATCGCACAAATCTAAAAGTTTGAAGATAAAAGAAAACCCTAGCCCTAGGGAATGGCCATATCTATCAGATCACCAAATTGGGATCCGATCGGATCATTATTATAGCAAGAATGAAGAAATTAATTTGCAGTGGCTAAACCCACCCTGTCCCGCCGCTTTTGTTGTTCTTTTCACATTCTTTCATTCACACTATGCTTCTGCTTCACTCGGCCCCTGCCTCTGCCGTCCCTCTGCCACTGCCACTACCGACTTTTAACCCACCTCGTCCCGCAGCTTATATTTGTTTTTTTTTTTGTGCGGTCGCTGCCTCTGTCTCTGCCGCGAGTCTGCAGTATGTGGCTCTAGGGAAGGGCGGAGAGCGTGTTGGTGTGAGAAATGTTGTAGATGTAGGTGACAGATGAAGAAAAAATTTAAAATTTGAAAAAACACCGCTGAGGTGCAGATGCACTATTGTCCAAATGATCAGTTTTGGTGGCAAAAAGCTCATTTTTATACCCCGTACTCAAAGAGTAAATAGGGTATATTGTATTTGTGCGAATAACGGTTGTATGTAACGCACAGAAGGAAGCGTTTCCGACCCCACTTTCGTAAAATTTGCTGTGAAACCTATCGGTCATTATTGCACAGAATGTTCCGACCATTGGACCATCAAAGTTGCGTACAAGAAATTTTCATAGATGGCGCCAATTTCGAAAAAGTTGCTGTGAAACCTATCGGTTCAAGAATGTACCGATTTTATTGCTGTTTAAATATCTAATAAAATGGATAATATTAACTGATCCAATTTGTTTGATGCATTTTATTTAGTAGGCTTTTTACTACGTGTTCTGTAATGTGAACGATATCTAGTGGTTGGCGATGTCTTCTACATCTAGATGTAGTCCTGAGTGCCGGGTATAAAAGTTGTGACGCGTAAGAAGCGTCTCACACGTCCCTTCTCGTTTTTTTTTTTAATTCTATGTTTTTTTTACATGGGGTGTCATCTAAATCACCTCTCAAGCCAACACGCTCTTTTAGCTTGCCCCCCTCCCCAGGATCCGTACACTGCAAGAAAAAAAGGAAAAGTGAAAAATAAGGAAAGCTGCTGGACGGCGTGAGGGTAGCCACTGCAAATTAATTTATTCATTGTGGCTATAATAAGACTATTATTGGATTATAATGTAACCCTTGTTCATCAATCTGATAAATATTACCCTACTCCACGGAATAGCGAATTGCTTCGAAATAATGAAACTAACTTGATTAAGTGTGATATCCCGTCCTTACACAAAATTTGGTGACTCTATCTCTTATAGTCGATGAGAAACTGGCGGCAAACAAAACGGACGGACAGACAGATAGGCGGACGGACCGGGTATAAAAACTTGGGGGCCACCCAAGAGAATCCTAAAGATCCTGCGGATGAGGAAAATAATAGCCAGATCATCGTCGTCCTCCATGATGAACCATAGTCCCATACTTATCTGACTCCAGGGACAAGCAGATAGAGGAGCAGCCGGAGGTCCGAAATTGCTCTATGTAGCACCAAGGGTATAGGACGACACATCCCGCACACACGTCAGACAGACGATCGTAGCAAGCCGTCAATTTTAGGACCGCGCGGTCGATATGGCCATGTCGATAAAAAAATCGCTCGGAGATGAACACTCACAGCGAAAATAGCCGACAACGCCAACATCCACTTCGTCTCTTTATCTCGCCGTTAAGTACGAGTCAAATAGTGCCCTTCAGAAAAAGTAAAATTACCTGAAAATGAGACACCATCAGACCCATTAAACGGGTTGCTTATAGAAACGGATTCAGATTTCAAATCATGCTTCCAAACGACATCGTTTGGAGCAACAGAAATAAATACTGGCCAAATGGGCAACATAAAATTGAAAATTCAATTCAATACACACACAAATTCACGCAAAGAACCAAGACACTATGTGAAGTTGCAGCACCCTCAACGGGCACACTAAACAATGAGCTGATCGGAATTGTAGCGGGCAAAGTTTGAACATGGAGCAAACACGAGTGGTTAAACTACATGCTGATCGTGGCAGAAGCTGACTTTGCAAATAAAAGCAGCGCCACGAGGCAGTCGGGACAGTTCCTCCAAGCTAGCCTATGGTTGATGCCAAACTTCGTGAGCTCACTATATTTGGTAATTCTTGCTGCCGTGGTAGAGCCTACGACTTCCCCATGATACACTACACACCAATAACGTATCCTCCACAACATTCTAATATCTCGGAGCAAATTTCTCCGAACCCTGTAAGCTTAAGCTTAAGCTCTTAAGAGCTATTAATAGAAAAACAAACTTGTTCTTAAACCAAGAGACCATTTATAACACAGCAACCACCTCCAGAGATCAAATAATTGTATATGAACCCCTGATCGGTGAGCATACCCCGGCCGTCGAAAGATTAGAGAACCACAAAGTTGACTCATTGCTGCCAATGAAAAAAGCAGAACATCAGTTTTTACAAATACCATAATCTACCCAGAGCTAGACTACTTAGTCAGCACAATTAACTATTAAAATTATTTTAAACACATGCCCATATTGGAAAGCGATAATCAGGCTATTGTCATCAACCCTAATAAAACATAATTTATATTTGGCATTTGTCTCAGCATTCAAACCTCTGAGTGTCTGCTCTTTGCTAATGATTTGAAGATTTTCCGTGCTGTCAGACTTGCTTGGAACCCCGCTAGGGTCGTTCAAATTTAACGTATCAAGAGACTGCAACGAAACTTTCTAAAGGCACTTTGTGCTTCCTTTGCCATCATATGAAAGTAGGAAGGGAGCCGCCAGAAGGCTGCCTTCTGGGTTTTTTTCTTTTTCATGTCTGATCTTGTTATATTTTGTTGTTTTTTCTATGTTAGTTAGTTAAGGATTACGAAATCTGTTGGCGTTTAATAAATAAAGACTTTACCCACGAGACGCAGATAATGGAACGGTCAGCCCGGGTAGACATCCACGTTGACCGGGAAATCATCATTACAACAGGGGTCTGTCATTTCCCTGAACTTTCCGTGCACGACTGGGCTAATTTTTATACAGGGCCCAGCAGCCAAGCTGACTCTCGGCACAAGTCGAATGACACCTTAGTCCGGACCGGCTTGCGGTGAGTGGGAGGGTAGAGTGTAGGGATGGAAAGTGACTTAAACGAGGCTGCGCCATTAGCGGCCCTCATAAACAACAATGTTGACATTCTTTGGGATGCCCGCTTATTCATAGGTTACCTACATACCAAGGTAGGCCGTTCGCTATCCGCAACCTGCGACCTAGGCCCCCTTTGAGCCACCTCAACGTGCATTCGATACATCGGAAACTCGATGCCCAAGATGAGACTAAAATCTGCATAGACCCCTTGCGCACTTATTTATGAATTTATTATATGTAAATCAAATTTAATTTTTAATTTTTCGCTGCGAACCAAAATGATATTTTCTGATAGCTGAGGGCTTTAATTACACCCGGTACTCGAAGAGTAAATAGGGTATATTGTATTTGTGAGAATAACGGTTGTATGTAACGCACATAAAGAAACGTTTCCGACCCCATAAAGTATATATATTCTTGGTCAGCATCAATAGCCGAATCGATAGAGTCGATAGAGCCATGTCTGTCTGGAGCGCCTGGATCTCAGAGACTAAAAGCTAGAGCCACCAAATTTTGCATCCAGACTTCTGTATGCTCACACTGTTACAAGTGTATTTAAAAAATGAGACCGCCCCCCTTCCGCCCCGGAAAAAGGGCGGAAACCTCCAAAATCAATTTTGAAGATAAAAGAAAACTAAACTAAAAACGCCATGCAGTAGGAAAGGACCAGATCAGTAGGTATCTATCAGATCAAAAAATTGGGATCCGATTGGACCATTATTATGAAGAATGAATGAAGAAATTAATTTGCAGTGGCTAAACCCACCCCGTCCCGCAGCTTATATTTTTTTTTTTTTCACATTCTATCATTCACACTCTGCTTCTGCAGTATGCGGCCTCTGCCTCTGCCGAGGCTAAGCCCACCCTGACCCGCAGCTTTTGTTGCTTTGAATGTGAAAAACATTCTCTCATTCACACTCTGCTTCGTGTAGTGTAGTCACTACTGCCTCTGCCTCTGCCGCGTCTCTGCCTCTGCCATGACTCTGCAGTGTGTGGCTTTAGAGAAGGGTGGCTAGCTTAAGGAGCGTGTTGGCGTGAGAAGTGTTGTAGATGTAGATGACAGATGAAGAAAAAAATGTAAAATTTGACAAATAACCGCTGAGGTACAGATGTAGTACTGAGTGCCGGGTATAAAAGTTGTGATGCGTATGAAGCGTCTCACACGTCCCTTCTCGTCTTTATTTGTTGTATGAAATATACATTTTATTTATGAAAGATATTTTATTAAAGAATTTTTAAAGTCTTGTATTTTTTTCCGAAGTATTTTTAAAGGTAGCGCTTTTTGATCGCGGTACTCGAAAAGTAAATAGGGTATATTGTATTTGTGCACAGAATGAAAAGTTTCCGACCCCATTAAGTATAAGCATTTTAGATCAGCATCAATAGCAGAGTTAATATCTGTCTGTCCATCCGTCCGTCTTGTTTGTCTGCTAACTCTCAGGGACTATAAAATCTAGACCACCAAATTTTTTCGTACAGGCTGCTGTATGCTCTGACTGATACAAGGGTATTTCGAATATTACCCCCGCCCCTACAAAGGGCGAAAATCGGATTTTTCAACAATTTTGAAGATAAGAGAAATCTAAAAACGCTGTTCCGTAGGGAATGATCATATCTATCAGATCACTGAATTGGGATTAGATTGGATCATTATTATAGATAGAATTAAGAAATTAATTTGCTGTGGCTCCCCCCACCCCGTCCAGCAGCTGTTTTTATTTTTTGCACATTCTTTAATTCCACACTCTGCTTCGTGCAGTGTGCGGCTCTATGGAAGGGGCGAGCTGGTGTGAGAAGTGATGTAGATGTAGATACAATTTGTAGGAAAAATATAAAATGTCTGTCAAATTTGAAAATAAAACACCAAGGTACTGACGTATGTACTACTGAGTACCGGGTATAAAAAGTTTTGACGCGTAAGATGCGTCTTCACATAACTTATGTATTGTATTATAAAAAGCTGATGAATGCATCTATAAAGTAAAACCACTAAGCAAACAACATATAGAGTGGTCAAAGTGACCTAAAACTGGCTGTCTAATCAGTATTGGTGAGAGAACCTTCGGCTGAGAGAGTTTGGCGTTGGCTCTCTTTCAAATGCAAAAATTATGATTTTTTTGCGAGAGAAAATGAGCAAAACATAAAAAAAACAGCTAGAAGGGGCCTGGGTTGCCATCACAAATGAATTTTATGAAATGTCTGGTTCGATGCAGCAAAAATGTGTCGAGTAGTGTTATTCGTCCAAAACTTCTCAATATCCTCTTAATTTTTCTAGTATTACACGAAGTCCACAACGAAGTATTTTGTCATGGAAAACTCTTTATTTTGGCTTATTGATATTTAAAAAAGAAAGTTTAAATTAAAAACCAAATTTTATAAGTACAAATTAAAAGCAGCATTCAAGGAAAAATATGTCAATGTGCGCTGCTTTAAATCACAGTACTCCCAAATTATGAAAGTAAGATTGTTAAAAAGAGTGAATATTATATTCCTGAGATATCAAGAAACGAGAAGGGACGCGTCACAACTTTTATACCCGACACTCAGTACTACATCTGTACCTTAGCTATTATTTGTCAAATTTTAAATTTTTTCCTCATCTGTCATCTACATCTACAACACTTCTCACGCCAATACGCTCCTTTAGCTCGCCCCCCTTTCCTAGACCCGCACACTGCAAACTCGCGGCAAAGGCAGAGGGACGGCAGAGGCAGGGGCCGAGTGAAGCAGAAGCAGAGTGTGAATGAATGTGAAAAAAAATATATATAAGCTGCGGGACGGGGTGGGTATAGCCCCTGGAAATTAATTTCTTCATTGTGGCTATAATCCAATCCAATCGGATCCCAATTTGGTGATCTGATATCTATGGTCATTCCCTACGGAATGGCGTTTTTAGCTTTCTTATATCTTCAAAATTGTAGCTTTGGGAGGTTTTAGCCCTTTTGCGGGGTCGGAAGGGGGCGGGGCTCATTTTTGCAATACACTTGTAACAGTGTGAGCATACAGTAGTCTGGATGCAAAATTTGGTGGTTCTAGCTTTTATGGTCTCTGAGATCCAGGCGCTCAACAAGACGGACGGACAGACAGACAGACAGACATGGCTCTATCGACTCGGCTATTGATGCTGATCAAGAATATATACGCGGTCGGAAACGTTTCGTTCTGTGCGTTACATACATTTACGCTTCGAGTACCGGGTATAAAAAGAAATACCCACAAAGGACTTATACCGGTATATGATAAACGGACCTTGCATAATTTTGACATGACATGTGGAGTATAAAACATGTAGATTAAGCAGAGAGAGACTAAAATAATGTTGCACTGACCTTTATGTCAGTTTTTTATGTGTATTTTTATGTTTTCGATGCGGTCTCACTGCTTAGTTATTCTTTCTAAAATGTCAATTTCTCCGACAATGACAACAACAAATAAAAAGCAGATCTTTTAGCTTAAAAACGACAACTTAGTTAAATATTTATATGTAACTATACATGTAAAATACTTAAAACGGTAGTTAATGAAGGAACTGTTCTTTCTGCTGCTCATTTAAATCCATTTTTCTGAACCGCCAGCTTCCCAGACCGTCAAACTCCAAAATGTGTGTGTGATATTTCCTAATTTATAAAGAAAAGGAAATTGTATTCAAGACACAAATCGAGACACTTTAAGATCTAACCATAGAGTCGGTCTGTGTGTTATTGTCAGAAGAGTTATTCCCATGCTTTTTGCGATTTCATATATCGAGCTCTCAACGTCTATAGAAACTGCGCTGGTACATTCATCAAGGAGAGCGTAACGTGGTCTAAGAAAGAAAAGACTTTACAAACGATTTTTCTTGCGTAAATTATTCTTACTTATGATAAAATAAGCGAGCTATCGCCATGCGTTGTTTTTCTCCTCCAGATAGAATGTCCTTCCAATCGCGAACAACATCAAAACTATCACTAAAAGTAGAATACAAAAATATTATTGTAAGTAGTAAAATCTTCACGAATGATATAAGCTGTTCTTACCGTTGCGCAATGTGCTCAAGGCTAACCATTTTTAAAATTTCTTTAAGCTCATTTTCTGTTATGTTCTTACGTTTCATATCTTCTCGGGTATCGGGGTATATTATTTGGTCACATAAGCTGCCAATGGACATATACGGACGCTGCGGTATATAGAACATGCATGGTTTATCTTCCACGGGCCGTGGAATATGCAATTCCCCCGCATAGATGGGCCAAAGTCCACTTAATATACGGAATAAGCTGGACTTTCCACATCCATTTGGACCTGTTATTAGCAAATGCACACCGGGCTCGATGCAAAGCGTTAGGCTTGGTACAACTATATCACAGTTGGGTGTCACTACTGGAACTGCTCGTAGAGTGATGGACATATTTCCGGGATCATCCGTATAAATAATGCGGCCCTTAGCAACAGGTTTGCCATCACGAAATTCAATGATACCATTCATCTCATCATTTTCTACCACTGTTGCCTTACAATAGACTCCCTGTGCGGTCTCCTCAAACACATCCATCATTCCAGCTACTCGGTAAGTGTAACCAGCAAGGGCAACAATCTCCTTATAAGATGACATTAATCTTTCAATGGCGTCCGCTGCAGAAATTAGTAAATTTCTGGCTGTTGTCAAATACTGAGTGCGCTCGCTAACATTGGACTCAGTGGCAGAAGATTCAACAAGAGATGGATCACCGGTGCTGCCTGTCAGAATAGGTAACGAAACCATAATCATTCCAGTACCAGACCAGACGTACTTCATAAAAAATTGTTCGAGCATTATAAACCAAAGTTTTTGGCTAAAAATGTTGTTCATTTGATTGACAAGGCGATTGTATGCCTGCCTTAACTGCTGCATCTCCACCTAAAAATTAATTTAAAAGTTAAATTTGTACTTGAATTATTTTTAAGAATTTTTGGAAAATTCGAACTGACCTTATGTCCTCCGTAGAAGGCGATTTCTTCAGCATTTGTTATGATGCGAGAGTGAATATGTCTAAGATAACCATATCGGTTTGCCTCTTCCGATACCAGCTGTCCAAACTTTGGTGAGACAATCCTTAAGATGTGCGCGGTTAGGGCAATAACACTTACAGACAAAGCCGGACCTGAATAGTGAGATATAATATGTTATAAAGGCTTTGACAAAAGAATAATCTATTAACCTGTTAGGATATTCGCTTTCATTTTTCTGGAAGACCTCATTAATGCTAAGCCAATTAGCATCAAGTCGAAACAAGGCTTAGTCAGGCTACTGTACAAATGAGCCACAGAACTAGCAAATACGGAAATATCTTCAGTGAGCCTATATAGAAATCGGTAAAAAGAGTAAAGGTAATAATAACGAGAAGGGACGTGTGAGACGCTTTTTACGCGTCAGAAGTTTTATACCCGGCACTCAGTACAACATCTGCACCTTAGCGGTGTTTTGTCAAATTTAAAATTTTTTCTTCATCTGTCATCTACATCTACAACACTTCTCACACAAACACGCTCCTTTAGCTCGACGCCCTTTCCTAGACCCACACACTGCAGACTCGCGGCAGAGGCAGAGGCAACGCCCGCACAAAAACAAAACAAGTATAGATATGCCCATTCCCTACGGAATGGCGTTTTTAGTTTTCTTTTATCTTCAAAACTGTAGGTTTGGGAGGTTTTCGCCCTTTTGCGGTGGCGGAAGGGGCTAATTTTTGAAATACACTGGTTTCAGTGTGAGCATACAGCAGTCCGGAGCCAAAATTTGGTGGCTCTTATAGTCTCTGAGAACTAGCCGACAAACAAGACGGACAGACAGACATGGCTCTATCGACTCGTCTATTGATGCTGATCAAGAATATATATGCTTTATGCGATCGGAAACGTTTCCTTCTGTGCGTTACATACAACCGTTATTCCCCACAAATAAAATGTGCCCTATTTACTGTTCGAGTACCGGGTTTAAAAATAAACATATCGAATAAAAATGTTTTAAATTAGATCGAAAACTCACCTATGATCCGCATTTTCGATACGTCCGTCCAAATTTGACACTCTATAGTAGTTTTGATTCTTGAAATATAATCGGTATGAGTGACGTACCAAACGAGTTCTAAAATAAATAGTTAAGTGGAGTTAAGAATGGAGTTGAACTCTCCATACACCATTTTATTATTTACCGGAAGGCGAGTGAGAGTTTACTTTCCAGAAAACGTATCATTGAATTCACAAATGTAGCGGGAATAGCAATACCAAACCATTTAAGCAGAACTAGAGAAAACTGCTTAACGTCTTTCCGCACTATAAACTTAACAAGTGCACCCTCTAATGCGGCTACATAAATACTGAGGAAGGTGCGGGAAATTAAGCAAAACGTGTGTATGCTGAGCAAGCCTGTCTCGTAGCACAGAGTATTAGGTATCATAATCTTGACCAGCATTCCCAGTTGCTTTAAAAACTCTTTATTTAATCCAGGCTCGATCATTTGCTTATTGGTTTTGTTTTTTAATTTCTGTGCCACCAATAATTTTTCAGCTTCTGCCAGCTTCAAATCTTCATCGGAGCCATCTGTTGCTGATGGAGTAAGAGCCCCTGTGCTGCCTTTTGTTTTTCCCGATAGAATCTTTCTTGGGGACTGTGATTGCGTATTTCTTACATACGGAATTGTGATTTTAATGGTGAGAGCTACTATTGCACTAGTCACGAGGACGCAGCTAAATGCGTGCTTTGAAAGTCCATTCTGTTCACATTTTTCCGCTATGCGGTCAACGTATTTGGATAGAACGGTCATATTTGCTCAAAAAGTAATAAGGCTGGGGCGTCTGCAAAAAATGTATCGAAATATATAACAATAATATTAATAGAAGATAAGCACGCTTCGAATTCCGAAGCTTTTTAAAACCCTTGCGCATCGATCTTCCTTTGCCAGGCGTAACTATAAAGAATTTAATTATCTTCAGAAGAATAACGCTTTTCCACGTACACTTGTTTTCCAACTGATAGTACCTACGGAAAATTCCTATCAACGTTTAGGTATGAAAATCCAACTTTAGAGACTCCTAAATTTGCGGGTGACAGTTATTATCAATCAAAAGTAACAGTTTTGGCTGTAAAACAAAAAACTACGTAGAAACCTGAGCCTGCCTGAGTATATTTGTATGTATGTGCATATGTAAATATTTACTTTATAGGTTGTGAGCTTTTATTCTCCCTTTTTTAATCACGTTTAAAAAAATGGTTGCGAAACAAGTATTAATCGTTTCGGTTCTGGATCGCACAAAAAAATTAGACATTGCTGATCAAAATAGTCTATCTACCAAAATATAATCCATAATATCTTTGCTGTCATTCATGTTTACTTATGCATATATGTATAAAAGTCAAGTGCACAAATTATTAATCTGAGTATCTTACAGTTTGGTTATTTACTATGGTATGTTTAATATGTATGTACATATATCTAGTAAAAATATCGAGTAGAGCGTTACAATCGTTCCACTTTTTTTCGTTCAGTAATATTGTCGAAAAATCTGATTTGGTTGAGGCACACGACGAAACCTTCACACATGTATGTATATTAATGGAAAGAACAGTTTTTCAAAGAAACTTTTAATAGTACAAATTAAGGACTGTCGCTGTCATTCGTATCCGTTGCTGTTTGAAGCAGAACTAGTCAATAGAATTTCGAATGTCTTGCTTAAGGCCACGTTATGTTGCTTCGCTTCAACATTTGATAACAGACACTATACAATTTTCTTATAAGTCGACCGCCGGGCGATTTGGATTTAATTAATCTGCTGGTCGATTTTAATTTATTCGTTAAGGAAGAAAGTCAAGACTTCTTATATTTACATAAACACATAATGTGTACAAATTGTATGCAACTGTTTCAATTGATTTTACAGATGGTATTAGTAAAAACGGATTAAAAATACATATGATTTATATATAACTTTGTAATATTTGTAAAATATTTTAAAACATATTTATGTATGAGTGTAAATTAACTTTATGACTAATAATATAATTAATAATGTAATGATAATAATGATCTAAGTTTGTAGAGGCCAAAAGTGTTGGTTTCCAATATAATGCCTATTCGATAACGTATCTAACACAACGCGGCTCACCGCACAATAATGGATTGTGGATGGCAGCAATCGTAATTTCAGATTAGCCGACGGAAGTCGATAGATTATCAGTTGCAAGAGGACTTTGAATCTTGTGTAATCTGCGTATACTCTTTATATTTCCAATTAATAGCTGATCTGAACTTTGGAATTATAGGCATGAGACATGTCTACATGTTCATATGTAACAATTTATGTAACGTAATTATACATATTTACATACAAAGGTTACATTCTAAGATGTATGGGTGATTTTCAAATTACAAGGCCCATTCAAATCTCATACAAAGCTTTTCATGGCTGCCCGATCAGCTGTTGTTTAATCATACATGTATTTACAATCAAATTCACGCATGTACATACATATGTACATATGCATTTTTTCACGCACGCTGTGACACTAACTTTTTCTAAAATCTTACGAATTTCATACACACGAATGTACATAAAAAGAATGGGATTATTATGGGAAATACAAAAAATCATAGAACATAGTTAACATTTCCTGGGTGCATGCATTTACTTTCTTATGTATGTATGAGCAAGAACTTGCAATTTAAGACACTTTTCGGATAAGGCTTAACGAATCAGTTGTGTTTTTAATATAGGCGATTATATGCACATATGTACAATTGAATGTAAAATAATAATTAAAAGGCCTGGTAAATAGGCTGGTATTTGACGTACATAAGTATATTTGTATATGTACACAAGTATGTAAGTGTGTATATAAAAGTACCCAACTAAAGACTACCGAAAAAACTTAACTTAAGGCGTAATAGTATTTTATCTTCCTCACAAATGAATGACACTTTACCAAAGTCAGCGGAATGAGCACCGAAGAAAATATCAGTTTCACGAACTTGTTGCTTGTAATACTTATAAAAGAAAAATTTTAACAATAGTATAAAATAGACACGAGATCCCGTCTGCAGGCATATGCATGCGGAAAACAATAAAAACACGACCAAGCAACAAAAAAGCTCAAAGCTTAATGTACATACATACATATAAACTGAGTTTTTGTATGTGTGAATAGATTCGTACAGTCGTATACGTGCATGTATGTACATATTTGTGTGTAGCTCTTCCTCTATCTGGGTATTATGGTTTTAAGCAGATGTTGCTGTGTGAAAATGTACACATGTACGTACATAATACACAGACATACTGCAAACATTCTACTTACATATGTATATATATGTGTACAAACGTGTTTATTCTTAATCAGCTGTTTTCTGCTTTAGGTTGCCACAACCAAAAGTGTTTAAAGGTTATTTTTGGTATGAAGAAACTAACAAAATATCGGAAGAGAACACTAATCACTTCTCATGCTATTGCCTAAACATTTTGGATCATGGATATTTATGGTGTGTCAGGTAATTACACCTCCATGAAACTAATTATCTCAAATTATTTGGTTAAAACAAATTAAAACTTTATATGGTATAAATGCTTAGTGTTACACTTGACATACATATGTATGTATAAATAGTGTATATATGGATCTGTGTAAGCATACTCATATACACATGTAACTACATATTTCCATATGTATGTGCATACCTATGTAAATATGCATACAATTAATGTTATAATTGTATCACCAATCGATCTTAGTTATTGGGGAATTGTTACCAAATCTGTTGCCTAAATCGGACAGTCTACTACAGTCTACTAAGCAACGGTACGATTTTTATATCCGATTTATAGTCGATTGAGCCACGTCTGTCTGTCCGTCCGTCTGTCGATCCGCCTTGTTGAGCGCCTGGATCTCAGAGCCCATAAAAGCTAGAGCCACCAAATTTTGCATCCAGACTACTGTATGCTCACACTGTTACAAGTGTATTTCAAAAATGAGGCGAAACCCTCCCAAACTTTGAAGATAAAAGAAAACTAAAAACGCCCTTCCGTAGGGAATGGCCATATCTATCAGATCACCATATTGGGATCCGATTGGATCATTATTATAGCCACAATGGAGAAATTAATTTCCAGTGGCTTTTGTTGTTCTTTTTACATTCTCTCATTCACACTCTGCTTCTGCTGATTTAACCCACCCCGTCTCGCAGCTTATACTTGTTTTGTTTTTGTACGGGCGCTGCCTCTGCCTCTGCCGCGAGTCTGCAGTGTGTGGGCCTAGGGAAGGGCGGCGAGCTAACGGAGCGTGTTCGCGTGAGAAGTGTTGTCGATGCAGATGACAGATGAAGAACAAATTTTACTGTACTGTAGCGTCCGTGTCTGTCGAGTCCGTTCCAAAGCCCATCCCATCTATTTCGACAGTTTCACATTTTCATCCCATGTTATTGTGTTTACCGAAACCTGTTTTAATCCGGAAATTCTTAGTTCCGAAGTTTTGGCAGATCGGTACACAATTTATAGGAATGATCGTTCGTCTCGACGTAGAGGAGGGGTTCTGGTTGCAGTAAACTCTTACTTTACGTCGGAACTTTTCATAGTCCAGGTTCTCTGTGTTATACTGATTCTTCCCGGCCAGTCTATTTATGTCACTTGCTCGTATATTTCACCGACTTCGGATGTATTAATATATGAGCACCACTTGTCCGACTTAAAAACTGTTTCTTCCTCGCTATCTGATAAAGACCATTTAATAGTTCTTGGGGATTTCAACCTGCCAGGTACTGTCTGGTCTTCGGTTAACGAGTCAAACAACCTTGTGCCCATGTCACGACATGATTTTATTGATGGCTTCTTAGACCTGTCCCTGTCTCAAGTTAACCATGTAAAAAACTCCTTGGGTCGATTGCTTGATCTGTGCTTTGTCTCGGATCCGACCGTAGCGTTGTTAACACGAGCACATCCGCTCACTATACCTGAAGACTGCCGATCCATCCCACTTTCGAAGTGTCGGTAGATATTGGACCTACTGTATCGGGTCGTGCGGGCAGGCTTTCTGAACGCGTACGCTGCTTTTCGTAAAGCCGAGTTTACGAAGCTCAATAACCTAATTAGGGATTTTGATTGGTCCGCTCTGTACTCGTGCACTGACGTCATTGAAGGCACAAACATTTTTTACAATGTACTTGACACCATTTTTGACACGTGTGTCCCACCAAAGAGTTATCCAGTCTAAAGAACCTAAAATCAAGACTATTTAAAAAATCTCAAGAAGTTGGTTCTCCCTCTTCTCTTTCTAGTTACTTAATAGCTCGGTCAAATTTACCAGTTCTTAATGCTCAATGCTATAGGAACTTCCTACTTCGATGCAGGATACGTTTTTCACAGGACCCTAAACAGTTCTACAGCTTTGTAAACAGTAGGCGTAGAACGTCCGCACATCCATCCTCGCTATCATTTTTTAATATGTCGGCAAACAATGATCAGGCAATCGCCGATCTTTTTGCACAATTTTTTCAAACCACCTATTCCCAGGAAAGCTACCCAGGTCATATGTATCCATATAGTTTACCAAGGTCGAATGGCATTTTCTGCCCTTTGTTTAATGAAGGCTCCTTACTTCATTAACTTCGATCAGTTAAGCCGGTATTTTCACCGGGCCCTGACGGAGTTCCCGGCTGTGTACTCAGGTACTGTGCCGAGTCTCTGTGCGGACCTTTGCTTAAACTATTCACTCTATCCATCCATTCTTCTAGCTTTCCCCCTATCTGGAAGGAATCAAAGAATCAAGAAAGGTAGCAAGTCTGACGCTAAAAACTATAGAGGTATATCTAAGTTATCCGCTATTCCTAAAATGTTCGAGAAATTTTTAACTCCACACTTGCAGCATCTCTGCAAATCACTTATATCTCTAGCTCAGCACAGATTTATACGGCGACGATCAACAACCACTAATCTTTTAGAGTTCACCTCCTTTGTCATTAAAGGATTCCAAGGTAACTTGCAGACGGATGTTATTTACACTGACTTCGGTAAGGCATTCGATTCTGTAAACCATTCTCTTCTTGCACAAAAGCTCGACCTTCTAGTTCTAGTTCCGACCAATCTGTTGAGATGGATTTCTAGCTACCTGTGTTCTAGGTCTCAAATGGTCCTTTTAAAAAACTCCTTATCTTTACCTGTTATGGTTACTTCTGGAGTACCACAGGGTAGCCATTTAAGCCTCTTACTTTTCACACTCTTTATTTATGACCTGCCTTCTGTATTAACAAAGTCTCGAGTACTTATGTATGCGGATGATGTTAAGCTCTGTGTCCAGTATAACGACATTTCATTTCACTCTCGCTTGCAATCTGATCTCAATAGCTTTCAGTCATGGTGCTGTGCAAATATGCTACACCTTAATGCCTCGAAGTGCAAAGTAATGACCTGACCTTTCATCGCTCCAGACCCTTACTGGCTCCTTACACCCTATGCGGTAGTTCTCTTGAGAGAACTACATTAGTTGATGATCTTGGTGTTAAACTAGAGCCCAAGTTAAAGTTTTCTGAACACATTTCTACCATGGTAAATAAACTTTTAATTAATTAAATTTAATTTAAACTAATTTACCATGGTAAATGTGCTTGGGTTTATAAAGAGGTGGTCAAAGGAATTTGTTGACCCCTAACGAAGACTCTCTATATCTCGCTTGTTCTCCGATTTTAGAATACGGCTCATGTGTATGCCCTTTAGGGTTTTATGCTCGGATTATAATTCCCTCTATCACATTATATCCTCGACTAACTCCCTTCCTCTTCATAAATCTCTTATACTAGCCTTCCTCTCCCGTAGTTAGTTTCATTTTAGCTTTGTCTTGTTTCTGCCGTTGACAATTTTGCTTGCTTAGCTATTGTTGCTCTAGTTTAGTTGTGTTTAGTTCTAATTTTCCTCGAATATTAGCCTAACATCTTTCTTTCCTGCATGCTCGCGTCATGCGGCAGCGCCCCTCGGGCGGTTGGGCGGGAGGCGGGCTGCGTTCTGCTGGGTTCCGCATGGGCCACTTGATGGTGCAGTCATTGCATATCAACGTCCAGACATATATGTATCAATATGTGAATGCATATGTGCAAACTTGTATTAAAAGTTGTTTTTATTTTTTCATTGTGGGTTGTAAGGAATATTATGATGCGTGGTCTGATCAATTCGATTTGGAAAGCAATGATACAGATTTTGAGACATCTTTAGAGCACGCCGAATTGGCGTTGCAGTATTTTTTTTAAAACCAATTCGACGAAGCACGAAATATTTTGCAACCATTAGCCGACATAAGCTTACATCATTCTTTAAGATGTGCAGTATTTTCTTCTTTTTAGGCTGTGCTATCCTTCGAAAATGTAGACGCTGCGTCGGCGAAAATAAAAAAAATATATAGACCTTTGTAAATTATTCCGAAAAAAGAATACTATAACGGAATTCATAGCCTGCACTTTCAAGAAGGTATTTATCCAGCGGAAAACACAATGTTTCATTTCCTAAGGCTTCTTCAGAAAAACTATTCCCAGCTTACAGACCAGGAATGCCATGCTGAGCTATGTTTAGCAGAGGCTCTATTGATGAACGCTCTCTTAATATTCATAATCTGATAATCTGATAATCTTGGTGGTGTGATACGCTGTAGCCTCAAAGTACGGCAATGCTATGGTGCTTTCAGGTAAGAGTGAGTAAACAGCGCTTACTATTTATATTAGCCGAACGTATCTATGCGCAACAGAGCATGTGAGCAAATAATGAAGTCTCGTGTGTGGATCTTGGACGCGGACAAGGACTCCGCGACGTCTAAAACTCATTTTGACAGTGGAGTGTACATGGGGTTTGGAACGTTCAACCCTATGATATCTATATTACCTGGACGTATACTAAAAATAATTAAAATCATTGAATTTTCGGGCAGCAAGGTATGTTTTTTTGTCAACCCTCCAGCTAAAGCATACTGGTTTTTTTTAGAGTGGTAGTAGTTCGTCACAAACAATTTACTCGTATAATTTAGCCGCGGTCAATTTGACGTGCAGAACACAGACGACTTCTGCTAGTACTAGTAGCGACCCTGACATAGAGGATCTAATGCTTGAAGTTCCCGCATTTCAACAAAGAATATCTGGTAAATCGCTACCAATGGATAAGTTTATGATTAAGCGAGCCATTCGTTTTGGAGCACAAAACGGAAATCTTGTGCCCCCGCTTATAGAATTAATGTATCTGTGGAATATATTAAAATTGTTTAAAGCGAAGGTGTTTATCACCTGACAAACAAGACGGACAGACGTACTCTTCGAGTACGGGGTATAACAATCAAGCCATTTACATGCTACAGGATACCAAGTATGCTTAACTCGATCAATCCTATAAACATTATTACCCAACATAATTCACAGAAAAAAGTTTTCGCATTATTCGTTAGAGCCTCGGCTGCACCTGAGGATACACATGGCGTTAATGAATTTAAATGATAATACAGAAGAGGAATTTTAAATTCAGGATTTTTTGAACTTTTTTTTATGCCTGGAGTATATAAATATTGTATTTATGTTGACAAAAATGTAATACACAGAAGCGTTTCCGACCCCACAAAGTATATATTCTTGATCAGCATCAATAATCAATAAAAAAATGTTTCAATAACCGAGTCATTATAGTCTGTCTGTACGTCCGTCTTGTTTGACGCTTCGTTTGACCATAAGAGCTAGTCACCAAATTTTGTGTGAAGACTCATGATATCACACTGAACCAAGTTTGTTTCGAAAAAGAAAAAAAAACATTCCGTAGGGAATCACCATATCTATCAGATAAACGAATCGGGATTAGAGTGGCTAAAAGAGCGTGTTGGCGTGAGAAGTTATGTAGATGTAGATGACAGATGTACAAAAAATGTAAACTGTAAAATTCGGTGATCTGATAGATATGGTCATTCCCTTCGTATTTATAATCTCTTATCTTCAGAATGGTGAATCCATATTTTCGCCCTTTGTGGGGGGCGGGCCTAATTGTTGAAATACACTTGTATCAGTGTGATTTCACAGCAGTGTGGAGGCAAAATATGGTGGCTCTAGCTCTTAGTCTCTGAGAACTAGACTACAAACAAAACGGACAGACAGACGAAGGTATATAGACTCGGCTATTAATGCTGATTAATAATTTATATACTTTATGTGGTCGGAAACGTTTCCTTCTGTGCGTTACATACATCCACTTTTGTGCACAAATACATTATCCTTTTTTTACTGTTCGAGTACCGGGTATAAAAATAATAAGGTACAGATATACTGACTGAGTACCGGGTATATTTGTTGTGAAGCGTTATAATGCGCAGAATATACTAGGAATCAAAACATTGTAATTCAATAATGTTTTTGTTCTTTTATTGTGGGAATTAATAATTCCATATACTTATACATGCGAATTTTCTTCATATACATTATTGATTTATAAGTAAAAATATTTAATTTGTATTATAATGGGAATTATTTATTGGTATTCTAACCATATACAAATTTTTGATGTGTTGGTGTAGGGCTTAGTGTGCATAGTCTGATTAATACTATAACCTTTTCCTTAATAATTCTGAAATTGATCGCACTTAATAGAGCAGTATAAGATAGCTAAGAATACATTTATGTTTGATCAATTTAACATTAAAAAATGCAAAAGCCTTAACTAATCAGTACTATGTATATTAACGTGTAATTTTAACAGGCTATTAATTACTTATTTTCTTAAAAGCATTACTCTTGTGTATATTTCTTAGTTTTAAATGTTAGTCTTAATTTGAATGAAATCATTTTCTACAACATACTAAAACTTATTTTTTCTGAGCACTTCGCAAGGACAAGAAAGCTAACTAACTTGCCTTGTTTATTTTTATAAAAAGGCTGGGTCAGGCCTTAAGCCAATTATGCATTTCTGTATTTACACAAGACATATACAAACATATGTGTATGTCTACATACATACACATACATATGCATATGCATAGTGTCAAATAATACATTCACGAAAGATATTTTAATTATTTTCAATTAAAAATGCATTTCCCTTATTTTTTATGTCCATCAAATATTTGTACACATTTAGAATGTCAGAAGTAAAGAATGAATAATACAAATGGATTGGTCGAAACTTAATTCAGGAGATAAACGAATTTATACGCAGATAAAAGTAGAACAAAAATGTAGAAGTATTTAAACATCAATGGCTAGGGGAGCCCTAAAATTTATTATTTAAGTATAGGGCGTGTATGTATGTATGTACAACTCAAAAACACCTGCATATATTTTGCATATTCATTGCGGATATAATAACTATATACAAACAAAAATTATGAAAATAAAATAAAATTTTTAATGCTTACAAAATCTTTCTGGTTCCTGAATAGCCCTAAATACATATGTAATATGTACAGAAAATAATTGAGGCCGACGAGACCTCGCTACGTATGAATTTAACTTTTAAAGGTATATTGTATAATGTATGCGTGGTACAAAATGCATGGACTGCCAATCTTGCATGGATAGAAATTGTTTATATAATTTTTAACTCTAAATTATGAGTTTTATGAAATAAATAAGATTGATATATCTATATTAAATACGTACATATGCTATTTATGTATTGGATCGTAAATAACTTTATTCTTTACCGACTGACAATATTGTGTATATTTAATATTTTTGTTTTGTTTTGCTAGTTGTTTGTTATATGTATATCACAAGTTTGAAGAGAGTAGAAAGTGGCGATTTAACTACTATTGGCATAAACCGGCAATTAAAACAGATTGATTCAATTGCTTTAAACCGAAACAAGATTATTATCGTTATGGCATATAAAGCTACGTAGCATGTTCCTACATATGTACGTATAAAGCAGTAATGCTTAGCAATCGATGCCATTTAGAGTTGCACTGCAACTTGGATGACGGAGAGACGGCACAACGACCCCGCTACCGCTTTCATCTGGTATTGAGGCATTTTGCGAATTATTGGAATCTTCAATAGAGCGGAAACGTAGAAATCCCTGCTCGGTAACTAACATGCTGTCCGAGGCACTCGAAGTCGTGCATGAATTGGATGAGACTGAGGCAACCGAAGCTGATGAAGCAGCACCTAATTCGGAACGAAGCTTTACATTATTTTGTACATGAAGATGTGGATGTTGCAGGTGCGAATTTATATGTGAATGCGGGTGTGGATCGTGGGTTCGATTTTTTGCGATTGCAACCAGTGCAGCCTGCGATTTGTTGTTGCCAATTGAGTTTTGAGTGTTGATTTCGGCCGGAGTGGCCAAAACATTCTCGTTGTTAATTAAGTTTGTGCACTCCACATTGCTTCCCGATATCATGTCGTCTTCCTCCTCATCTTCTTCTTCGGAATTACGATCATACGGTAACTGCTGGAGCTGATGCTCCTTAAGAGGCGTACCATTTATTGGATCAGCTTGAAATTGTGTTAAATCTGCACCATCTTGCAATGATCTACCGTTGGAGGAGCGCTTATTTCTCTGGTAATAATGGGCTCTCTCCGAAAGTGCTAAGGTCTGAACTCCGTTAGCGGTCACTCGCTGACCACCAACAGAAGATAATGGCACAGCTGTAGCTCGACTTGGCGTGGGCCCTCCCAATGTCATGCCTCCGTTAACAATACTGTTCAATGTTCCGCTTTTGCGCACACCGTTGAAAAATCCACGCTCATATGAATTATAGCTGGCATAACGCCCGCCCCCACCATTTGAAGAGGAGCAAGAGTTTGTCGAGTTGGAACTCCGACGTTCTGCATTTTCAAACCCGTTACGCTCGAGCGACGCATTTAGTTTTCTTTCCCGACTTTTAGCTATCTTGAGCCGGTCATGATCGCGTTCCGGCCAGCACTCAATGTTACTTTGCAAATGGACAGTGTTTACAGATTTTTCTTTAAACACGGGACGTTCAAAGTTGTTGAATTCAAATGTAGAGATATCCTCCTCAAGTGGTTCCGAGTAACAAGTGTCGCTTTGCAATAGCATAATTTTCTGTTGTGAAGAGCCCGAGCCAGCGGCAGAACCAGGCTTAGAACTAACCACATTTTTTTCCAGTTTTTGTAAGCTATCCCCCCCTAGGACGGATGAGCTTGAACGCAAATCAAAGTTTGGGTTTTCATAATGATCTGTTGTAGCATCAGTCATATAGTCAGTGCTCATGTAAGTGGTCTGTTCATGAACTCGCATGTGATGTTGATGTTGGTGCAAATGCGGATGCTGTTGTTGCTGTTGATGAAAGCTTTGTGCCGTTTGAGAACCGTATTCTGACATATTATGGTTAACAGCGCTTCTAATTGATCCGGTATCATACGGCCTCTGGTACATAGGCTCCTGCAGCTGATACTCGCAATTGCGCACACTCGGAGATGCTGCATTGGGCCCTATAGGATTGAGAGCATAGCTGTCGTCGTATATGAGTTTTCCTGTCCGCATAGTATAGGTATGCAGATTTGTGTTGGCATTGCAAATGGCCGGATAATCCGATTCAAATTGCTCCTGGCTGGAGCTTGATGTACAGGGTAAAAAGAAGTTTGTAACATTTGAGTTGTGGACACCGTTCCCGCCATGCTTTTCCCTAACTGCATTGGCAGCGCTTCCTCCGCCAGTTTGGCCATAGGCACCCATGGAAACAACTGGCCCAACGATGCGCAAGTCCCCATTTAAGCCAGTTGGGGTGTTCTGTGAATTAGGATCGACGCTAGTCTTCAGGCCAGTCACCCACGATATAAGGGTTATTATCGAAATCTCAATAAGTCGCAGGGAAAACTGGTATCCCCATTGCAACCAGTCCACCTCGACTATATTTGCTTGACGGGAGGACGAAATGCAAATAGCTCCAAATATCTGCAGAGCAGCTAATAGCACAAACAACAGAGCCGTAGCAATCGTAATGTGTATGGCGTATGATAGGTTCTGATAGCCGTGTATATAGTTCTGGGACTTGCTGCGCAAGATACGCTTCAATATTCGATACAAGTAAAGATACAGGAACCCTAAACTGAGGCATATGAATATGTAGATGATCTGACAAATTAGCGTTAGAACGCGTGGCGGTGGAGGTGGACTTGCAAGACTGGCCAATGATGAGATCGTCGCAGAAATTTGACTTTGCTGATAATGCAGCTGTTGACGTCGAAAGTATTGCTGTTGCTGCTGCTGCTGGAAATACAAGTGGTGATTCTTAAGCGTATACGATTCGACGTAGTGCAGTGTAATACAGAGCACAACGTGAACGCCGCAGCCTACGACGACGGTGAGAGGTCTTATTAGAGCCGAGTAACGATTGTTCTTGTGATTTAACGACTTCAAGAAGAGGAATAAAATGAGCACAGAAAAGGCAACTGTCAAAAATGTGGAGGGAAGATTCAGGAGAAGCTCTGCGACAAATATATTAAAGGTCGCATGGATGTTGTAGGCATCATAGCAGAGAAAAAATATCCGCATTATGCAAATTGTTATCAGTATGAGATTAATGCAAACAAAATACGACTGTGCGAAAAGATGTGTTAGCTTATTATAAGTGAGAAGTTTGTAGAGCGAGTACACTGATAATATTGTGAAAAGTACCACCGACAGGTATATATGTATGTTCCAGGCCCAAGTCCAGGTGGTGTGTGCTGATGCCGCTGCCGCAGCAGCATCCTCGTCGCGAGCTACTCCGCTTGGACCCTGACCCTTACCCTGGCCCTGAACAGTCGAAGCAAATGTGGTTGTGGTCCTGCCTGTCATCTGCCCAGATTGACCAACGTTTGTGGTTGCGTATGAGAACGATGTAGCCGCCACATCCCCAATAGCCGCTGCAGCCGCCGGTGTGGTCACTGTGGAATGGTTCCCGCTTTCATAGAAGTCAAGCCGACCTGATAGATGTTTGCTTTGGTTGATGTTTGGACTGGCAGAGGAACCATTCCCTTCGGTATTGTCTTCGTTTGCCGAAGAGTTTTCGATTAGAACAATTGGAGAGGACGGTGGGTGATGGAAGCTAGTGACCGGTCTCGGGGTTACTTGCTTCAATAGAACTGCCGGAATGTCACTTTTTTTACCATTTGATCCAAGAATGCGTCTTATATTTGGCAGCACCTCCTGCTTCTTATTGGGGCCACTGAAATCCACGCTCTGCACACCCTGTCTTTGTGAGCCAATTTGTTCGCTCAAATAATCTTCGTTGCTGGAAGGCTGACGGGCCGGTGTATTGAGAGCTTTTTTGCGATCAAGTCCGACAGGATCGAACACAGCGTCCTGATTGATTGTGGACACAACAGGACTCTTAGACTCCACATCATTATCGTAACTTACATTTGCTATCAAAATGCCGTTGGCCTCATTGCTGTTGCTCCCCAATTCAGGGGGTCGAATGGGTATCCTGTCCTGGCTGGGCATCAGGCTGGGAGGTGGAATTGGTCGTCTATTAATAGAAATGAGGCCCTCATTATTGGAACCGCGTAATGTTGGCTTGTCCGCAAACGGGTTTTGATATTCCGGAGGCAGTGGGGGCGTGAAAAAGGTTCGCGACGGAGGCGAGTATAGTGGAATATCTCCCGGATACATTGGTATTGTCGGTGACTGAGCTCCCATCGATTTTTTCAATAAGTTAGGTACTGTAAATAGATATAGATTATCACTAAGCCCTTCAGCACTAGATATACATACATACTAAACATATATAGCAGGAAAAGGAACAATACTCACTTGAGGGTGGCACTGGTGTGGTCTTATACTGCAACGTGTGACGGTGACGATCTCTGTCATGCGAATGGTGACGATTTGGATTGGGGTAAGTGGGATTATTGTTACTTTTCAATATGTCAGCATTGGGCGCAGAGGTGGGCAGTGCATGATCTCTCTCTAAGTCTAATTCGTAGTTTCTCTGGCGACCGCTTGTGATTTGTTTCTGGTGAACCGACTGATATCTAAATGGAATATAAAGATTGTAAAAGAAATTTTCTATTTGTGCTGGTTGGACATTTTTCGTCTGTTCTAAAATAAAAAACGAGAAGGGACGTGTGCAACATAATTTTTCAAATCCGCTTTTTATACCCGGTACTCGAAGAGTAAATAGGGCTGTCCAGCAGCTTTTGTTGTTTTTTCTCACATTCTCTCATTCACACTCAGCTTCGTGTAGTCAGCGGCCTCTGCCTCTGCAGCGAGTCTGCAGTGTGTGGGTCTAGGGAAGGGGGGCGAGCTAAAGGAGCGTGTTGGTGTGAGTAGTGTTGTTGATGTAGATAACAGATGAAAAAAAATGGAAAATTTGACAAATTACCGCTAAGGTGCAGATTTAGTACTGAGTGCCGGGTATAAAACTTGTGACGCGTAAGAAGCGTCTCACACGTCCCTTCTCGTTTGTCATAAAAAAGTTCTTATTTGAAAAGAACAGAGCGATTTAATTATTGTTTCATGGGAGATAGGAAGAACATTTTTTGACTACCTACACTTAGCTCAGTTGACACCAGATTTGTTTCGGAAGAGAAAAAGTGCTTGCTGAGATTCTGCACCATTTTTTGTCACATTGTACGGCTAGTTTCAACAGGATAGTCCCATGAAACATAACGGTAAATTGATACAGATAAACACTAACGTTTTGACATAGTTTTGAAGTTTTTTTTCTATCCTGATCAGATTATTACAGGGTTCATATGGGATTACCTTTTACGTAAAGGATATGAGTCTCGTCAACAATTTAAAGCTGTTAAACCATTACAGGCCTGTGTTACATACATATTAAAAGACTAATGGCCACACATAAATATGTACAACTGTGTTTATGGAAAGGTTTATGCCGAGCCTTATCACATTCAAAACTTTTATTGAGACACCTTCAGTGGTTCAAATAGTGCAAGTGATTCCTTTTTGGATAGTCTGGAGTGTACAGAACAGAATAAATCCGTTGCTATTGCATTCCATCTTCTTGTTAGCTCTGGATGTAAAAACTTAACAAATAATTAAATAGAAATTTATGTTTACCTCTGGGTCGTCAGGAGGGGTGTGGCAACGGTAGTTAGGCCTGAAGCATAGCTATTGTCTGGTATGCTGCGCTTCGTTGTAGATGTCGTTCCGTAAGCGACCTTTATCAGGACGGCGGCCACACTACGCTCAAAATTATCTAATTTTTCCAAATAACCACTAGGGACAACTTGAGAGGAACCAGAAATTGCGTGGTTTCCAATTCCAGTCGAACTGCTGTTCCCTCCGTGTTCAACTGGCTTTGCCCGGGAAATTGTATTGTTCTTGGATAATTCGTCAGTGGACATCAGCTTCGGTTGCTCTACTAGCAGCGAATGCGATAGGCAAATATGATGAGAGGCTATCAGTAGCATAAACACCATAGAGAAACGGTGGCGTCGAAGCATAATTAGAGATAGTAAATCGAAGAGAATGCCGCTCAAATGTCCTTCGCTTCTTTTCCTGATCACACGACACGGAAAATGGTAGCTGTTTACTTCAAAAAAGTTATTTGAAACTAAGGGTGTTTGCGGGATCAGATCGCTTGATAATACTGATGGGGACCTTCTTGCGGGATCCCTTGAGTCACATGTGGAACTCAACATCTTATGATATACTTTTGAAGGGAGGTCTGAAAATAAGTTAAGAGTAGCAAAAAAGCAGTTTTCACCTCCAATCAGAGTGCTTACCTTTTCCTGTGTTGGCTCGTTCTTTAACTTTGATGCGGTACCCATAGTTCATTGATGACATAACTTTATCCTTCGTTTTTGTAGAACCTTAATACACGTTTTACTCTTTAGTTCGCTTCCGAGTATATTCACCTGAATATAAAAACGAGGATGCTGCCTAAAAAACAAGAGCCAATACATTTGACAACACATATTACAATTGACAATTTTGTATTGACAATACAGATAATGTACCATCCATATTACTTTTATATTAAGATTATATAGGAAAACTGTTTAAAAAAACATATATGTAAACAGATATGACATTTTCATACCATCGGATCATATTAATATATCTATGATCTCGTCACTTTTGTAGATATTGTATCAATCGGATTTTTTAATAATTTATTTATATAAGCCTCTTTTAAGCCAACTTTTCAAATGTTAGGTATTCAACAAAAACACATATTTTGTACCATTCGTAATTCGTAATACTGCTGTTTCTAATACCCTGCACTCGAAGAGTAAATATGGTTATTGTATTTGTGGGGAATGACGGTTGTATGAAACGCACAGAATTAAACGTTTCCGACCCCATAAAGTATATACAGCTGCGGCGGAATAATAGCACCGTGTGGTACAACACTCTTTGTTTAAAAAAATGTGTTCCATACAACAGTTTGCACTTTGCAGTAATATAAAGTAGTACATGTCTCCTATCTGAGAGAAGTGTCCTTACTCTTACAACTTTGGCGGCTCTCAATAGCTTAGGTAATTTAAAAAAAAAAAAGAAGCGAAATTGAACGGCAACCAAAATAGCACCAAAATTTGTATTTTATACAAACTTATACTTTGCCGAGCCTTTTAATATAAAATGTTTTTAATTGATGTGATTGATAATCGGTAGATTAAGTCGTTTGTAAAAAGCCAGTTAAAAATATTAGTTGTTTTGGGACGTTGAAAGGGAAGAAAAAAGACAAAGGATCAAAACTTTAACTCCAAAAGAAGAAAGCTATCCTTATGTGAGGAAAATAGTAGTTCCTCATCTAAAATGATTCGTATGGCTTTAAAACATGTATCCAACAAGAAACTCGTGAAAGAATTCGCGCAATATCCACTTTTCGGTTGAAAATGCTGGTTTCTAATAGCAATGGATCTTTAAAAATGTCCAAAGATAAGCAAAGCTAGAATATAAATTAAGTGTTCGAAGTCTGAGAAAAAATGCAGTTTAGCAAAGAAGCCATTGCACTATGGGTAACGAGAAGGGACGTGTGAGACGCTTCTTACGCGTCACAACTTTTATAGCCCGCACTCAATTTGCACCTTAGCGGTGTTTTGTCAAATTTTAAATTTTTTTTCAATCTACATCTACATCTACAACACTTCTCACACCAACACGATCCGTTAGCTCGACGCCCTTCCCTAGACCCACACACTGCAGACACGCAGAAAAAACAAATATAAGCTGCGGGACGGGATGGGTTAAAAGTCGGCAGAGGGACAGGCAGATGCAGGGGCCGAGTGAAGCAGAAGCAGAGTGTGAATGACAGACGGACGGACAGACAGACATGGCTCAATCGACTCGGCTATTGATGCTGATCAAGAATATATATACTTGATGGGGTCGGAAACGTTTCCTTCTGTGTGTTACATACATTCATTCACTTTGTGCACAGTCGAACGGAGCTGCTCGTAGGAGCAACATCTAGGAGAGAAAGTTAAAATAAAATGTCGGAAAGAAAAGTAAATTTTTGAGCCGAAGTTGCCTTAGCAAAAACTTTCAGTTTGTAATATAAAGCAAAAGTACTATTCGATTCACAAAACAAAATAGTGGTTACTGATAAGCAATAACAAAGTTTTGTTGTTATCATGGACGACGACGAAGACGACACAACGGTTTGGAACTGGCAGAGAGAAAAATTGAAGTCAAAGGCAATCAAGAGACAACACCAAGCCTCTCCTATTCTACTAAAGAAAAAAATTGCTCTTATCAGAAGTCAGTGATATAAAAGGAATGCTAGTTTACCTCGAGACTACATTTAAAAAAGAGCTTTTAAATTTAAAATTTATAAAGTACAAGTCGATGGTCATGTGAGAGTTATGGTAAAGTCTATTGAAGAATACAGGAAACTTGTTAAAACTCTTACTAAAGATTCTGTCAAATTTCACACATACCAACTTAAACATGAGAGGGCATTGTTATTAAGAATTTGCACTTCTCAACGGATATCGACTTAATCAAACAAGATGTGTAGTCCAAAGGTCACGCTGTTAGAAACATTAGTAATATTCAAAGTCGTGTAACCAAGGAGCCATTGAATTTGTTCTACTTAGACATTGAGCCCAACAATAAGAACTTAGATATATACAAAGTTAAACTTATTGGTAACGCAGTTGTTAATATCGAACCACCCCAGGTGTTGCCAGGAATTTGGACACACAAAGTCATATTGTGCCAAAACTCACAGATGTGTTAAATGCTCTCTTAACCATCCCAGCAACGTTTGCCCAAAAGATAAAGAGCAACCAGAAAAATGTGCCAACTGCAACGAAGATCATGCTGCTAGTTACAAAGGGTGTAAAGTCTATCAGGATCTTATATCAAAACGAGAAGGGACGTGTGAGACGCTTCTTACGCGTCACAACTTTTATACCCGGCACTCAGGACTACATCTAGATGTAGAAGACATCGCCAACCACTAGATATTGTTCACATTACAGAACACGTAGTAAGAGCCTACTAAATAAAATGCATTAAACAAATTGGATCAGTTAATATTTTCCAATTTATGAGATATTTAAAACAGCAATAAAATTGGTACATTCTTGGACCGATAGGTTTCACAGCAAATTTTTCGAAAGTGGCGCCATCTGTGAAAATTTCTTGTACGCATTTCTCCATTGTGGCTACCTACGGAATGGCGTTTATAGTTTTCTTCTATCTTCAAAACTGTAGATTAGGGAGGTTTTCGCCCTTTTGCGGGGGCGAAAGGGGGCGTTGCTCATTTTTTGAAATACACTTGTTTCAGTGTGAGCATACAGCAGTCCGGAGCCAAAATTTGGAGGCTCTAGCTCTTATAGTCTCTGAGAACTGGCCGACAAACAAGACGGACAGACGGACGGACGGGCAGACAGACATGGCTCTATCGACTCGTCTATTGATGCTGATCAAGAATATATATACTTTATGGGGTCGGAAACGTTTCCTTCAGTGCGTTACATACAACCGTTATTCGCACAAATACAATATACCCTGTTTACTCTTCGAGTACCGGGTATAAAAAACGTGGAGGAAAGTGAGAGACGCTTCTTACGCGTCACAAATTGTATACCCGGTACTCATTGGTACGTCTGTAACTTAGTGATTTTTTACATTTTACATATTTTTTACATATGTCATCTACATCACACTGCACGACGCAGAATGCGGAATAAGATCCAATGATCCAATCTAATCCCAATTCAGTGATCTGATAGATATGGTCATTCCCTACGGAAATGGGTTTTTATGTTTTTCTTATCTTCAGAAGTGTGGATACAGCAGATTTTCGGGCTTTGTGGGGGCGGAAGGAGGCGGGGCTACCTTTTTAAATACACTTGTATCAGTGTAGGCATACAGCAGTCTGGAGGAAAAATGTGGTGGCCCCAGATTTTTTAGTCCCAAACAAGACCGACGTACGGATACAGACTCGGCTTTTGATGCAGATCAAGAATATATGTCTATGCTTTATTGGGTCGGAAACGTTTCCTTCTCTGCGTTACATACATCCACTTTTGTGCACAAATACAATATGCCCTATTTTCTCTTCGAGTACCGGGTATAAAAAGAACTTTTAGATCGCGCAAAGTACCAAACCTGGTTGGGATTGGGTACCTTATCAGAAGTTGTACAAGTAAACTTTTTCTCTTGACTATTTCGATACAAGGTCCACGATTCGAATGAACAACAGAATTCGAGCTTTGCCAAAGACTGTTGCATCGAATGGCCAACAAATATAGAATTCCGATATTAAACCAATATCGATCAATATTAGAATAGTCTAGTCGGGGGAACGGCGTATTCATAGGGGCAGTAATAGAAAAATTACATACTAAAACTCATTTTAAAGTTAGGTTGCCGTTTAAAACTTCTGAACGATTTAGAATTTATACTATCAGGAACATTTTAAATTGATCACTGCCACACACTGATTACTGTTTTGTTAGTTAGTTTTAATAGTTAATTAAACTATGTTAAATAAAATACAAGCTACAGCTGTACTGATGGAACTCAAATTGAACGAGGAACGCTAGGAAATGTTGCAAATTATATATTTACATATGACAGAAAAAATGCTGTCAGCGGCCAAAACCAGCCTTCTATTGTAATTGAAAACATACATATATTTAATTTATATCAATTCAAAATTCATCTTATGCAATGTCGACATGATCACTTCGTTCACATATTATAGGTCTCAAAGCTAATGGTATATAATTGAAACTTTAAGCCATGCCCCTGTAGAGATATTTAACAATGTTTTTCTTACATACATTTGTGGATGAAAAATTTTTTTTTAATTAATTATTCAAAAATCATACCGTTTACTTCATGTTTTTGATTGGTCCCGATATTAAAGGTACCGATCAAACGTCCAATATCTACGTCATAGTGTGCATCCATCAAACAAGTTATTAGCTTTAACACATGAACATTGAACTAAATATATGGATGTATTAATAGTGTATATACATGCATATGTGCATTTAAGATACATACATTTGTGTACTGTTTTGGGCAAGTAAAACAGGGCGTAGGAACTCGGAAATAGACCGTATGTTTATAACAAAATCCACAGCCTAGCTGATCCTATATAAGCAGAATGTTTTTATAATTCACGCATAAAAACAATACAGATTATGTATATTGTGTTGTGACGTCTCGATTTTTCACTTTTCAGCAAGAATCACAAAATGGCGTATATCTAATCGATCAACCATGTTCAGTATCGATAAGTAGTTATTCGTGGAAGTGCTAAACATCAGATAAAAAGTATGGGTATTCAGGGTATATACTAAAATTTAAATTTAGCTTGAAACCCAGTACTCAGATCTTAACAAAGTGGCCACTAGAAATATCAGAGATAATATTCATATGAAACCGATAATACATGTTTTGGAGCACAAACTGCTTTGATATTGATGATATTTTATGGTTTTCGATTGTAGTTTGCTAGCGGCTAGAAAACAGAACGTAAATACAATATAAGATAAAAGCACAAAAGCCGCCGAAAAGGAGAGAAATATTATCAACGAGCTTGAGGCCCTAAAAAGGCGAAAGAGGAAACAAGTGAAATAAAATAATGGGAATATATTGAATTTATTTGCATATTTATTTAGTTCAACTTATTCAAACGCAAATAGCTTCATGTTGCAAAGATATAGACACGGCTGGACTGTTAACAAAGTGTTTTAAGTTGTTTTGAATACGAAGGGTGCCTGGGGGCACCGTTTTACAACTTCGCCACGGCGCAAATATTCCCTGGCACGTCCTTGGTGCTCCACCAATCAAAAAAGGATGCAAACGTTATTCCCAGGCATATCCAGATTCTCAAAGAATACTGATGGCCTTTGTGTCATTTTTTCAAACTGCGATTTATGCAAATGATATTGTCAGATGGGTTTCAATGCATATGCACATATTTATATGATTTATAATACTCACATCAATGCTGTAGGCGGTTATTTCGTTGATTGTCCTCCTCTTCCGCTAATGCAAGAGCCGCCAACTCAATTACAAGAAATCTCCTGCTTGGATTAATTTTTCCTTTATTGTTTTATTAACCTTTTATTAAATTTTCCCATATTTTCAATAAGTAAACAACAAAACGGCTTCCTGCTCAGGGTAACTGTACGGAATGCGGATTACACCTCTGGTCACACTCTGCCGCTAACAAAATATATTGCACAGTTTGCTAGCAAGCGTGTTTTCGGATCTGCGTACTAAGTTTTAGAGATAGTGACATATAGTAGCAGTGCTACTGACTGATTCACCTATAAATAGCTTACTGCAAAAAGCCGGGTATCCAGTACCGCGAAAAAAAAATCCTGTCAAACTTCATATAAAGGCAGCACCGGTATACCACTACTGTATGGTTAGTGACTATACCTACCGGTTGACAAGCAACACATTGCCAAATACGGAGCAATCCATTCCCACTCACGTAACTGTTTATGTTGGTTGGCCTTTTTAAGACATAATTATAATTTATATTTAATTTGTAAAGATTCCAACTAAAAGAAGTCGTGAAAACTAGCCAATATTGTGGAGAATTGTTCGATTAATTGGATAAAATTATAGTTTTATCACGGAGATTCCTAACTAGCTAGTAATAGTAAATAAAATGGTTTGTGGGTGTATTTTTCGATAATTCCGCGTTACACAGCCTAGCAAGCTAGGAACACCTACTATAAAGAACGCAGCTCCGACCAACACTTGTTTATCTGAAAAATTAAAAGTACACAACACTAGAATATCCGTATATACACACATTAATAAAAAAACAAACATTTATCGTCTTAATTCTTAAACTAAAACATGATGTTGCAATCATAAAGCCTTTATATAAAAACGACAGAGGACCTTTAATTAAATCTTATTTTGCATGCGCTTCTCGGCGTTGCTATCCAAATTGACTCTTTTGATGTCGTCTTAAACAAGCTCCAATCAAGCCATATTAAAATAAAAAAAATGGATACATTTGATGTGTCAGATAAGAGCAGGTAAGCAGCGACCTTAAATTATAGTGAAATCGAACATTTTTAGATGTTAACATATATATATATATGTATATACATAAAAATGTACATATGTATATAATGCACATATATATATATATATATATATATATATACATAAACATGTACATATGGATATATGTATATCTTAGACATTCGATTAACATTACATTGGTCTCGAGTTTACAGCTGGTACTTTGGTCCAATGTCCCGACAAGACGCTACCGAAGTATTAATGAACGAGCGTGAACGTGGAGTGTTTTTAGTCCGTGACAGCAACTCGATAGCAGGAGATTACGTGCTCTGTGTAAGGTAAATTAAGAAAACGTGAACAGAAAAGGACATCATAAAACTGTTAATTATTAAATATTTTATTTTAGAGAAGATACTAAAGTTAGCAACTATATAATCAACAAAGTTCAACAACAGGATCAAATAGTATATCGAATTGGTGATCAGTCGTTTGATAATCTGCCAAAACTTTTGACATTTTACACATTGCATTACTTGGACACCACACCACTAAGGCGGCCCGCGCAAAAAAAAGTGGAAAAAGTAGTTGGAAAATTTGATTTTGTTGGCAGCGTGAGTGTTTCCACAGTTTGTAACACAGTTTCCACAGTTTATTCTATCGTTTCCCAAAGGATCAAGACGATTTGCCCTTTCAAAGAGGAGAAGTTCTTACTGTAATACGAAAGGACGAAGATCAGTGGTGGACTGCACGTAATTCAACTGGGCAAGTTGGACAAATACCAGTTCCTTATGTGCAAAGGGTACGTATTTGCGTATAAAAAAGACCATGAAACGTTTCAGCTTTAGCTTTTAAATATTTTTTTAGTATGAAGACTCGACAGATGAGGACGTATTCGATAACCACGTTCTTGGCCATCCGAGTTCTACTATCGGACGATTGAATAATACATCTGACCCGCCAACAGTCTCTTGCAATCTTTTTGGTAATATGTTAAAACGGACCGACCTGAACGTAAGTGTAAGGATTAAACCATACAATGAACATTTGTTTATAAAAACTTGTTTCAATTAGCGCAAACTGCCAGCGTTCGCTCGTGTAAAACAATCGAGGGTGCCCAATGCATACGACAAGACGGCATTGAAATTGGAAATAGGTGACATTATTAAAGTCACTAAAACTAATATAAATGGCCAATGGGAGGGGGAACTAAATGGACGCAAGGGCCACTTCCCATTCACTCACGTTGAATTTGTCGATGATTGTGATTTAGGAAATAACTGTGGAGAGGTACGTTTAAATATCGCCAATAACGATTGGGTGGAGCAATAATATTATTACTGGATCATTTTTATTTAAATTTATGACAAAATGTATCGAGAAATAACAGTAAGATGCATACCAATTGTTAATACATATATTAAAAATATTTCATCATACTACACACAAATTCAAATTCCTGGCTTAGATCAACCAATCAATTTATTTATTTCCCAATAAATATATGTACATATATCCAAAGACTATAAAATTACCAACATAATGCATCGGGAAAAATTCCACTTCGATTTTCGTTCATGGTCTGTGCGCGGTATATACATACATACATTCTATTTTATCCTTCGCTATCCTATGACCGCGGTTCCGTAACAGTCCAAGACACAATTAGTTTTTGTACGTCCTCTGTGTACAGGCAGTCACAAAAATTTCCGCCACAGCTTTTTGGTCCTCCTTGCAAAATCTTGGTATTTTTTAGTCTTTGAAATAGCATTCTTCGAACTAGATCAAAATGGGTGCTGGGATACAAAAATAAATAGCTTTGCGACACTCTTCCCACGAGGCATTCCGTTGGTAAAAACTGTCATACTCAGTTCCATCTCAATGTCCTGCGGCCCCTCCAGTGATCTCTTTAATAATAGATTGACCTGGTTATTGCTTTTTAACGTGCTGTTAGAAAGACAAAAATATGAAAAAATATTCATAGCACTGCATAAAATATCAGAATTACGGAATTTTATACTCACTCGAAATGGTTCTCAGTTGCTCTTTCGATGTTGATGGAAGCTTGGATCCTCACAATTTTGAGGTCGAAATCGATATTGTCATACCACATCGGGCCACGCAGAGTAAATATGGTTCGACCATCTGGAGGTATCATCAATTTAGATACAAAAGTTATAAAATTATATGTGTATGCTGAAGGTTTTGTATAGCAGTCTTCTCCTTCGCAAAAGTTGCTGTTTTGACGGCACCGGCTGGAAAAAATAATACAATATACATTTTGCCTTGTTCTGATAGGTTCTGATAGGTGTGTGCACTCCTAGCAAAGTTGGTGAGAGACAAAGTTTTAGGGTGAAGTATTTTTCGTTAGCGCTAATTATACCTTCATTACATTTTCAGTGTACTTTTTGATCTTACTTTTTTTGCTCTAGGTCGTTGGTATAACCATAGGGGCAATTAACAGTCGTACACTTAAAACTTCCTCGAATGTTTGTGCAAATATCGTTCTAAAAAACAAACATAATAATAACATAAACCAATGTTTAAGTGAAGTTTTTGCAAACATAATATCTGTTAAAATTTAGAAAATTATACATATGTATGTGTATATATGTATGTATAATGGATAAGAACAAACATACCCGTCCAGTGCATACATCATTGACGGAATCAGCACATTCATCAATATCGCGGCATGTATTCATGTCTGAGGCTAGAGTGTAACCACGGGGACAGTTACATTTGTAGGATCCGGAAGTGTTGATACATAATCTGAATAATAGATCACATGATTTGAAAGGATTTCCTAAGGTGGTTAACCACCTCGAATTGTCGAGGATTCATACCCCATACAAAGCTTGTAGTGCTTGTGAACTTTACATTCATCAATATCGTTGCAAGTGCGGTTGTCCTGTCCTAGTTGATATCCTGAATTGCATGTGCAACGATATCCCCCCCAGAAGTTGACACACTTTTGCTGGCATAGGCCCGGAATAACGTGACATTCATCCACATCAAGGCAGGCCGTGTTACTCTCGTCCCCGTCGCTTGTCTTCTTCTGGAAGCCTGGTTTGCATTCACAATAAAACGAACCAATGGTATTAAAGCAATGAGAATTCGAAGGACACACACGTTGATCCTGAGCGCATTCGTCTATATCCTGGCAGGTGCTTACGCCATTAGACAAATGTTTTAGCTCATGACCCGTTGGACAGG